TACTTGCAGTGGAAATTAATCATGCGTTTGATCTGTTGTGGGCAAAGCTTAGTCACGTTGACAAGAGCATGATGAGTCAATAAATATAACTGACCTAGATCATTCGTTTTGCTTGTATTGCATTTCGTAAACCTTTTTCATTTTTTCGTATCCAGGGTTTTATTCATGTGTCATGATGCCTAATGTCTGGACCAAGACAAGCACTGTATATATAAGAACTCACTTAGTGTGACTGATTCAAGCAGCTAGACCATTTTCCCTATAAATTTCACCCCCAAAGCTAAGTTTTTATGTCGCTGCTTTGAGCCTAGAGTCTATTTTATCAAGGGTTGGAAGGTCAGAAATTCTCTTAATAATCTACATGTTTGAGGGGCCTAAGATATCCTGGGGTAGCGAAAAGTCATAATAATGCTTCATTCGCCAACTCTGTGTCACTAGATTGCTTTTATTTCATAAATAAGACACTTTTGTCCCCAAATACTCCACCTGGAGCTTTACTGTTATCTCTGAAACGAAGCAAATGTGATGATTTGCTCGTGCTCTCCTGGATTCCCCCCAGCCAGATGTCACCTCCCAAGGGCAGTTCTGCAAAAGAAGTCCACCAAGAAGCTCCAATCCCGGCATGCTTCTCTATGGCATTGGGTCCTTCAGAGATTCCCACTCCATGGCATTTCAGCATCCCATGGAAGTGCCACACAGACGAGCATAACTGATATGAAGAGATTATTAGAAGCTCCTCGTGTAAGCTTAGAACAAGTAAAGGCTGGAGTAAACCAGGGCGGGTTGAGAGCCGAACACAGTAAGGCTTGAGGCATCCTCGCAGGAAAATCTCCCTTGTTTTTCTTTACATTCAGGAATCTGAGCAGAGTCCTGTGCAATACATAATAATGTTGAGGTGTATCACATATTTACCTTTTATTGAAAATGAGTACAGTCCCTGTATGCAAAAATGCAATGGCAATATTTATTATCTTAGTACTCATCCATCCTGCACACTAACAGGCAGCCTAATGAGTAGAGAACAAATAGACAAATCATGTTTTAGGATAGAATTTTACAACTTAGAAATATACTTTTTTCATTGTTGGCACCATTATTTTCTCCTAGGCATACAGGTGGTTGTCAGGATTTGCTAGTCTGTTGATCAAGATCCAATTCCTGTTGTGTAACGTGTACTGGAAAGGGCAATTATTTTGTTATGGAGTGATAATCCAAAACATCTGCAGGTTGTACGTGCATACGTGCAAAAGTGAAATGTATTCATTGCACAGTTTGTATTTGAAAGGTCCTTTTTTTTTTCCCCCTTGAGCCATATTGAGACACAATGTGAATGTTATTTCTCTTTTTTTTCTCAGAATCCATATTACATAGTCTCAAATTGCACATTCTTGATGTCATAATGGTGAACAAAATATTGTTGCTATTTGTGTTGGACTGTTTCTCTTATTTCCCATTGTACTTTTTTTTTTTTTTTTTCTAATTTAGGTAGCAATAAAATTGTAACAATAGCAATTGCGTGTATCCTGCATAGTAATTGAATAGGAATTTCTGCATACTGCACAAGTCTGAAAGTCTGTAGTTTTTTAGTGAGGAGTTTCTAATCTTTTTCTTCCAGGTGAACTTATAAAAGGTCCAAAGTTCTGCTGAAATATTCAATTTCTCCGTTAGCTTGTGGGTAGCGTAGCAGTGCTCTTTTTGCACATTGTTGCATAGCCCTTTTTGGATACTTCCTGGGATTTCCTCCTTTGCTGAAGACAGGGCACTGAGAAGTAATTGCAGACTAAGGCTCAGGGAAGGGATGTCCAGCAGTCAGCATCACACTGCAGGCTCTACTCAGAATAAGTAAAAGAGGGTGATCTTGCCCAAATAATCATATTTGGGCAGTTCTTACTTCTGCTTAGGCTAATCTTGTTTGCATTAAGTGTCATCAGTGGGTTGAGATCCATAAGCAATTTAAATTCTCAGCCCCCAAAGTAAGATTTGTCATTTTTTGTCAAGTCTGGGCTCAAGCTCTTACTTCTTGAGATAAACACTTTCTCCCACCTTGTATTAAGGTAGGCTTGCACAGCCTCTCTGCGAGATGAATTTGAGCATCCATGAAGTAATGCTCTTAATATTCTGCACGGCAAACACGGATGTAGATAAACTTTGCATGCTATAATTTAAAACCTGAGAAAGAAGCTAAGGTTTATCCTTTCTGGGGGGAAAGCACCTTTTCCATCTTCAGTGATAGGACCTGAGTGAGATTTCATCTCTCTACTGCAAAAATTCAGCGCCTGAGTGGCTTTGACAAAGTCTGTGATCTTTATAATCTATAAATTATGTTTAAAGCTCCTTGCACCTTATATGATAATATATGTAAAGAGATTAAAACACTGATAATGTGTTTGAAGAGATGATAGGGCAGTCTCTGTAATTATTGTATTTAAGTAATAGATTAAGAAATATACAGCTCATGAGTAGGAAAAAAATCAGTGCTAGGAGCCACTTGGGACAAGTTCATTCCAGGTCAGTCAGGGGGGAAAGTTCAGTGGGATCCAAAATCAGAGCTGCACAATCCTGTGCATCCTCTGGTGAGAAAAACCCACAGACCAGGCAGGAGTTGCCAGCCCACATCCTTTTTATCCCTGTCTCTTCCCATAATAGATCCTGGCTTTGTGCAGGATCACCAGGGGTTCTGCATACTCTTGAGGGACATTTATATTTAGAGGGATGGCAAGATTTCAATACTGTGAAACATCCATAGGGGATGTGGTGAGTAATGCAGAAAGGTGGCCTGAACGACTGGAGATGGAGGCCGTGACAAGCAAATAAAATTTTGAAAGGATGTTATGGCCATATGAGCCCATTTTACTGCCATGACACGTTGAGATTTTTGCTCTAAAGCAGGACAACATTTGCTCCTCTGATATTTCCAGCAGCCCCAAAAGAAAGCTGCAAATTCTGTTCTGCAAAGGGATCTGTGGGAATGTCCTTGCTGAGGTTTACTTGGCAGGATTGGGTCCAGAGTGAATTATGGCAAGTGATTTCTTTGTGCTGCAAATGGAAACTTAAGCTGTTTTTGAATAGGAAATAAGAGTATGAATGCTGCCTGGGAACTGTTTAGATAATGCTCGGAAATTGTGTTGTTTTATATATATTCTTGTTATTTCTGCAGCTCACATTTCTAGCTGTAGGATGCAGAATCCAAGCGCTGAGCGATCGGATGAGCTCTCTGTACCACATCTGTATTAACTCACCCACTCAAAATCTTCATGAGAAGTCTCTTAAAAGCAGCTCTGTTTTAGGGCTTGTACGAAATGGAAATGAGCGCTGCCTTTTGTTTCGGTGCCTGCTACAATTAGTAATAAAGTCCAAGAACCATTCTTAGGTTTTCCTGGTTGGAGGGAGAGCAAAGTGCACTTCTCCATCCTCTGCTTATCTGTTTACTGCACAAAGAGCCGTTTTCATCTGGCGAACTCCTAGGGGTTGCAGCAAAGTTGGCCTCTATTCTTTGGTTGTTTTTCCGGGTGGTTGAGCCATTCTCCACGGGGCTGATAAGCAGAACAAGTGGTTTTCCTCTTCTACTGATGCAGATAACAAGTGATTATTGCCCAGTTTGCTCTATTTTGTCTTTTTTTTTTTTTTTTTTTGCCTTGTTTGTTTTTCTTTCCATATTTGCTGTTGGGAGCCTTGGCTGTGGGCAGAGGGGTGGTGGAGAACTGCAGCTCGCAGGTCCTTCCTTCTCACCAGTAGCAAATGCCTCATCTGCTTGGCAGTGTGTGCTTGTTTTTCATTAATTTTCTTCAATTACTGTCTTGGAAAACCCTGTTCTGGATATTTTTGATAGCAGATTTTCTAGTCATAACTTTTCCAAGAGTGTTGTTGAGCAGAGGTTAAATCTGCTAAAAAAAAAAAAAAAAAAAGATTTTTTGAGGTCAGGCAGAAATTGGGTTTATATTATTGCAAACAAGAACTCTGTTTTTGTGCCGGGTCGACAGAGCATGTCTCCTGGAAGAAATATTAAAGAGCATTCGCAGCACTTCCTTAAACACTTCCTTAAATGCTTGGAATCAGTCGGGTGTGTAGGTGGTTTTCTTAAAACTTTAAAGTTCTGTTGCGTGCTTCTTTCCCTTAGTACATTATTCCCTCTCAGTAAAAAAGCTGTCATTTTGTTTTTTTCATTCTGTAATTCAGAAATTTGTTCTGCAAGACAGGTTTGTTTCCTTGGCTAACCTGGTAAAGTTTTGGAGCCCCTTGACTAGCCATTGGGTGAAATTGCCTGGCAAATAGCTTTCGGTGTGCTAGTTGCCAGGTAAACCAGGACCTGCCTTCCCATTTTCTATAAAAATCCTGAGAGAGACCTCAGGATTCAGACCTGGCCTTTGCCGCTTGCTTACCCGCAGTGTGATGGAGTTAGCCTCCTTTGTGGAACATTTGATGAGGTGGCTCAATTTGCATCCATTTAGATTTATTTTCATGTCTGTTTCTGTTGTTCATTTATTGGATTCTCTATCTTTAGAAATTTTTATTACTCTCATATTCAAGTTAAAAAATAGCCAATTTTTCTTTCCCGAATGAATTGCTTGAAGCAAAGTACCCATGAACGCGTGGGTATTTTAATTCAGTTATTAAATGTATACAGCGATAATTTACAAGCAGCCTTTTAGCCATTCTTTAAGTGTCTGCTGACTGTTGCATAAGCTAAATTATTTACAGTATGATGCCTCACAAAAGAGAAGCAGATTTGGGTTATTTACTTTGCTGATAAGAGCAGGGGATTGAAGTTGCTGTGATATGCTGCTCTGTTAATTTCTTATTTGCTCCCTAGTGGGTCAGATCTTTTTAAAGAACTAACAGGAGCATTGGCAGGCGCCTTTGAAATGGTATGGAAGTGGTAAGATTAAACAAAACATGAAAAGGTCTTAAAAAATGTAAGTCAGCAAGTGTTTGATAAAAATAAAAGTGCTCCGCAATAGGAAACCTTTAGGATGCTGGATTTATTTGCTCTCTGCTCGCGAATGGCCTCTGTTCTCCATCTGGGAGCAGTTCCTGTGAGTTATGTGCTTCGAATGGCACCAAGCCGGGGATGTGGAAACAGCGGGGTTGTGCAGCGTAATGAAAACCGCCACAAATGGCCTCGCCGCGGATCTCCCCATAACGAGGAGATTCAAAAACCTCAGCGAGGCTGCAGAGGGAGTTTTGCAGCCACGTAGCCTGACAAGCCCCCTTGCCCGGGCTGGTTGTTTGCAGATGTGCAGAGTCTTCACCAGGTTTCTTCTGCTTCCATAGGTGCCAGTGACCCGTTGGACGCAGCGGCTCCCGCCATCCTGGTCCCTCCCCAGAACACGAGCGGCGTGGTCGGGGCCGGCCGCGGCGACGTCACCCTGGAGTGCGTGGCCAGCGCCAGGTACCCGAACGCAGCAGCTGGGAGGAACCGCCTCTAACGCGCTGTCCTTTACGGAGAAGGACATCGGAATATCTTTTTAAAATTATTTTAATGATTGGAGCAGAGCGCAGCATGTGATTTGCTTGTCGTTTGAAGGATCTCTTGAAAGTTTGTCCAACGTTACTGAATTCAACATATGGATTTTTCTGGCCAAGTTAGAACATAGATAGAACTGCTTTCCCCTCTCTTACTCTGTAAGGAAAAGTAGGGTAGTATGGTTCAATCAGCAAATTTTATCTTATGACAGATAATGATGTTAAGGGTTAATAAAGTTACAACTGTATTGCCTATTGGCATGAAAGGTAACCCTGTCTAAGCTAACAGTCTGTGCTTCCTAGCAAATAAATTAGGAAGGTTCTCCGACTTTCTACTGCATGGAGCAATTAATTAGAGATGCAGTTAACATTGATTATTGATCAACTGTGTATAATGCACCATAACATAAATTTTGTAGCATTCCTACTACGTGCAGGGTTAAGTTTCCGTCTAGTAGGAACAGCATTGAATTCTAGGGGAAGTGAGCAGCTGAGGTCTTCAGATAAGAAGTTCGACATTTACTTTCCCCTCTGAGGGCAGAGATTTTCTTGATATGGTTAATATTGTTTGGGTAATTGAGTTATAATGAAAGCACTTCCTGCACAGTTGATTCCCTCAGCAGCATTTACTCATTATGTCCTTTTGCTTAGAGAAATCAAATTATTAATCCTTAAGTTCTATTGCTGTATCAATTAGCTGTGCTTGCATAATGGCATTTGCGTGGTCTGTGGTCTTGATGTGTAGAAGTTTTATGTAGATTTACCTCTTAAATGTCTAATGACTGGGACATAGGAAGAGTAAGAGGAGTTTTATAATCTGCATATACCTGCAGCTAAGTTCATCTTCTACTGGATATTCTTTTATTGTTGTGTTTTTGTGTTTTCGTTTTGTGTTTTAACCTTGGAAGACCTGTTGAGAGATTAAGCATTACTTGGAAGAGAAATGGAATGAAAATAACCAGTGGAATTAGCAATTTTGGGAGACATCTCACTATCACCCACGCAACCTCTGCGGACGCTGGGATGTACGTCTGCGAAGCAAAACTGAGGGACAGCACAGAGGAACCAGCAAGGGCGAAAGCCTTCCTTTCCATAATGGGTAATTCTCAAGGCAGTGTTTTTTTTTTTTTTAGTTAAAACAGACTCTGGGTTTGGGTACAATAGGAAAAAAAAAAAGATATTTTATCGACCTTGTGTTTGAACCTTTCATCGCTGAATGGAACAAAAGAGGTGAAAGGGGAGTTATCTTCCAAATTAATTCAGCTGTTCTTCTCCATGAATATCAATTCATCAAATAGATTTTTTTTGAATGCTGATATGATTCTGAATCCCCTGCGAAACTCTGCATTTAATCAAAAGTTGGGGAAACACAGTAGTAAAATCCTTACTGGGTGGTTTGCATCTTGTCTTCTTGCTGCATTAAATCTTGATTAACTCCCAGATTGCTCACATCTAGTTTTAATGTGTCAAGTGCCTCCATTTCCAAATGAAGCCTTTTAGGAGCACTTTTGTGTGTTGTATTTTGCAAAAGCCAGCTGGGGAGCCAAGGACATTCCTGAGCACGCAGGCAGGTGTCATTGCTGGAGCCACAAAAGGGAGAAGGAAATAAGATTAACATCAGTGCTACGTGCTGGACCCTTGACCACAAGGGAAGCTTTGGACTTAATATTTTTCAAGAGACATTTCAACCCATTTTCTTGGAGGGACTGTCCTGTTTCTGCCCTCTCTGCTATGCTAGAATTTAGCTGTATTAGGTTGTAATTTGAAAGTGGTAGTTACCATGCATGTTGTGTCCTGAAAGAGCGACACAAATGAGCACGCTGGACACGATCTAAAGCTTGTGAGGGATTTTAGTTTAAGAGAGAATGATAAGCCAGCGAGGATTGTGTAAGTTTAGGTCTTAAGTAATAGTCACAGAGGTAACCATGTAGGTGCCCTGGATAGATTATTTCTCTGGCAACGATGCAAGCTCTTAATGTTGATCAGAAGTCATTAACACGAACATCTGGAGTACTTTCCCAAGAGAATCCAGCACACGGTTGTTGAAGTTCCTTTAGCCTCTGAAAATACAGTTTTTAAGATTGCACTACGGCACCTATTCTATTAAAGCAATTTAAAGCAGTTCATGTTAAGTGAGGAAACAGCTCCTCTTTGTACAAAGCTCTGCTCCAGCTTCATGTGTAGCACTGTGTCTCTATTATATTTATTAGTTTGCTTCTGGTCTTTTCCTTTGTACTCTATTTCTTACAATTATTACGGCACTGCTTCCCTACCCTTTAAGGAGCAGAAACAGATTTCACTTATTTATGGTTTTGCCTTAAACTCTTCCTTACCATAAGATTTTATTGTAACTAGCTTAATTTTGGTGCTTTGCTGTCAGGTCCAGCCCAGTGCAATACTTAAGGCAGCCTCTTGGTTAATGTAAAAATGTTCTTAAATATAGCTACAATAAAAATGAGAAACAGTCACTGGGGGATCATACTAAAATAGCAAAGTTGCCTTTCTTTAGTCGCTTATCTACTCTTTCATTTGTAGATGTTTTATGTATTTCTTATCCAGTTTTAGGGGGTGTCAGGGGAAGAAGTTATGAAAAGGCCTGTAGATGGGAGTACACAGATGAAAGAAAGCAGAAACAAATTGTTTACCAATTACTTTTATTTCTTTCTGATGGAACAAGACACTTCAGGTGCTGGTGTTTACGCAATGTGTCAGTGAAGGCTGATACATTTCTTTATTCATGAGTTTCTTGAACTGGAGAATGGATCTCTCGTTCTAAACAGGATGCTGAATCAAAGGATTTGCCGTTAATTCATGGTTTTATTCACATGTAGGATTTTAAAATGGATCAGGCTGTTGTTTAATTAGGAAAAGTTTCTGGAAGAAGGTGTAGGTGAGATTCAAACTACGTTTCCACCTTCTGATGGAATAATTCTAAGGATTTTTCTAATTTTTTGAGAGGTGATATACCCCTCATAACCTATTGGAGCTGTATTTACAGAGATTCAAGTATACTTGTCCATTTGCATGTATATTTGCAGTGTGTGCATGTTGGCAGTGTACCTTATCTGATAAGCGCTGCTTTGGGAGGGTAGGACAGCATGGGCTTGGTAAGGGCTGACTAACAGAAGAAGGAATTTGTGTTAATAATCAGATTTGTTTTCAAAGTAATTGTAACAAACCAAATAAGAACCTCTGTAGTATAGTAGTAAGAGTTCTTGTGGACTGATAGGAAAACAATATTTTGCTATTAATAGGTAGAACAAGGGTAGTGCTAAAAAGATTCGTATTTAATTCAACTTAATTTTAAAGATATTTAATTCATAATAGCTTTTTTAAACAAATACCTCAGTTCTTGCTTTTCCCAGCTAAGTCACACAACTTGAGCCTGTGCTGAAAAGGTGACAAGTCTTATGTTAGGAGTCAATGGAGCTTAGTACAAAGGTGTGTGTAATCAGCTTAAAATCCTATTTGTGACCTACACTAGTATTTCTGATATTACTTCTGGGTATTCCTGAGAGTGCATCACCTGTTTGGTAAATTAAGATCACTTGACACTTGAAAAATCTGAATATTTTACAGAATAGCATTGCATGAACAGGAAGAGAGCGCTCTGGCTTTTGGTTGCACTGCAGTTTTCTTCTGAATGTGGCAAAGAGCTTTGTGGCATCTTCATATTGTTTCAGCAAAGATAAACTGAGGTGGTTCCAAACTCTGGCTTTATTACCTGAAGTTGTTATAAATTTTTAAAGGGTAGCGTGTACAGAGTGTGGGCAGAGTAACAGTTTAGGGAAGATTTGTAGCAGATTAAATAAGAGCACATTTGTTTTACCACTAACTGTGGTGAAAATTAAGTAATTTAGGAGAGTCTTTTCCTGAACAAACCAATTTAAAAATGGAGCTAATCTTAAATTCTTCTGCGCTGGTTTTGCGAGTTCCTGTAACAACAATTTGCAGTAGTCATTTTTAAAGTGATTGTTCTGTAGGAAATTAGGAATTTTAGGCACACGAGAGAATAAAGAACGAATCCATTGCAGTACATGAGAACTATAGTGCTCTTTAGAGTCTCTAAGTAAACCTGAACAAAATGAGGAAAAAAAGGAAAGACATAAAAAGAATGGTCTGATATAATCGAATATTGCACAGACCTGGGTGTTGAAGCCCTGTTGGCATATCCAAAAGAGTGAGATGGAGTCATATTATCGTTATTATATTATGGCATAAAGCAGAAGCACAGTAGAGGATTTCCCTTCTTTTTGGTGCTGTTTTGTGCCTGGAAGCATTGGTTAGTGTTAATAGATGTATTATTCTCATCTCAGTGTCTCCTAGCGAGCATTTTTACATCTCAGCTAGATATATTTCTTTCTGAAAATGGGGCATTAGATGAGCATTTTATAGGTCTGTGTCTCTGTCCTGATTTTCGTGAAGTACAAAGGATGTAGCTTCATGGGTTCAGGAGCACATCAGAAACATGAATAGCATTAGCGTGGAGGACCGAGCTGCCTAGAAGCTGAGATCCATAGGGCTATTCCTCCTTCACTCTACTTCTCCAAGAGTAAGGGTGGAGGTTCAGAAGGGCCTTCTTTGTGCATTGCCCGTGTTCATGAATTCCTGTTAAGTGTTTGTATTGCTGATTAAAAAAAAAATTCAGCTGGTGCTAGCTCCCTCAATTCTTTGCCCTGAACTCTCTGTATTCAGGAGCCCTCATGGCTCTATCTGAGATGCTCAGAAACACAATACAGCGATGGCTCTGAGATGCTCAGAAACACAATACAGCCTGTCTTGGAACTTAGGAAGGACTTTTTCCATTATGATTACATGTTACCTGAAATTCATGGGCCAACTCCTTAATAATATCTTTTGTCCATGGCATGCACTGGTGGTTGCCCCTTCCTTCAGTTCTGCAGCAGCAGCTGCATGTCCTGGCCTGGTGCAGGAGCTTGGAGTGCAGGTGGCAGCAGGGGAGGTCAGTCGTACCTACCATGTTGTTCCCAGGTGCAGTAAATCACATCTGTTTTTGAAAGCAGCTGTTCCCAAGCAAGAAGGATTTTTCCCCGTGATTCAGAACATGCAAAGCTCAAAAACAAGAGACTGAGAGAAGCTTTTCATCTATTTCTGTTTTAACCTGATACTCATGCAAAGAAAAACCCTGCTTGAAGGAGTCTGGTGTGCTTGGGTGCATGCACCATGTATGCTCTCCCAGCACAGTCTGATCTTCTGTCTGGAGTTACAGACTTTGTACCTACACAGGGCTCTCAAGTTTTCTGTTCCACCTTCTTTACAGGATTTTCACCAAATAGCTTGTGCTAATGTCAGAGGAAGGCTTCCATGTTGAGGGCTCAGTTTTCCTCTTAAATATGCAGGCCTGAATTTGAGTGATGCAAGAATTCCAGCCTTGGGGCCCCTGGGGCTTTCTCTGTTTTCTCTTGACTTTCATGTAGGTATCTAGGATTAGGTCACACATCTCCAACGCAGCTTGAAGGGGGTGTAATGGATGCTGACTGCTCTCTTTTGAATGTTAAAATCAGTGACCATGTAACTCTGTGTGGGAGAAGTTAGAATGGTATCAAATTTTGCAGGCTCTCAAGGGCTTTGCAGAGAGGCAGTTTCAGCAATGTTGTCTGTAGTGCAACATCCCCCCAAACCCTCAACATCTATAAAAAGCAAGCATTTGTATTCAAATACTCTTTTTCCCTTTTGCTTGTTCTTGACCTTTTAGTTGAGATCAAACACCAAGACGATAGCTGAACAAGATAGTATCTGTTTCCTTCGGTCTAATATGAGATGTGACCCCTCTCATCGCACAGCACACTCCACTGCCGGCGGGGTGAGCTTGGTGTAATAGGTCTCTTCCTCTTCTAAACGATGCAATTCTCTGATTTAAATCAAATGTTTGACCTGCCACCAGGAGACGCCTGTCATTCCTTGAAATAGCTGTGTCGAGGGGCTTGTGTCTGGTGTGTTAGGTAGCTTGGGAGACGTTGTAATTTCCCCACGCATTTTAAATTTCAGCACATGATTACTGCCTACAACAATAAATGTTCAAATTCACGCTACGTGATCCAAACGAATCCTTATAAATATGCAGTAGATTTATAGATACAGAAAGCCAGCATGTCCCTTCAGAATGTCGTCTGACCCCTATCAATGGTGCTGTCTTCTATGGCCTCTTCCCGATAGATATTTGCCAGGAACGGTACAACACCCAAATCCAGGGCCTGGGAGTTCCACACTTGCAACAGGCCTCTAGGCCTTTAGGTACACCCCTCGTATGCAGATCATATCCCTGACTGCTCTTAGAAGTGGGGAGCATAGATTTCTGTTGTCTAGGACTGTAACTGGAACCGTTTCTGCTCATTCTTTTCAGTGATGAGACAGAACTTGCTGACAGGAGAGACATCCATAGCTAGAAGTGCAAGGTTAGGAGGCCTGGGTGTAGGGCACGTGCCTGGATGCTCTTTTGCTTCTGTACTGCTTTGGTCACCTTTCCCCTCACTGTCATATAAACTGAAACAGAACAAAAAGTTCAAAATTTATTTTAAGAGAGGGCGTATAGATGAACACGTAGATAGGTAAGGACATTTGGCTAAAAACCCGAAAACCAGAAAGATAAAATTCTGGGAACTGGAGCTCAAGGAAAGCATCAAGATGAAGCTTGGAGGAGGGCACGAAAAGGCAAGTGTACAGTACCTGGACATGGACTTAGATGGATTGCAGATGGCTCAGCAATTTAGCCGATCAAACATGTCAAACACTGTGTTCCATCAGTGAATTTCAATTAAATGTTCAGCTTTTCAATTTGTTGTTTAGATTAATGCATGAGATCATATGCAATAAATCACCCCTTATTATATATGTTTATTAATAGCTTTATATTTAGGCAGTGAGGATCAATAATGTTAACACGTGTATATTATTAGAATATAATAAATCACATAGCTTGTTTTATTGGTTTTCCTGGGTAAATGCATATTCCAGACTATTTTGCAACCTCACCTCCTCCTGTGTGCAGGATTTTGAAGACCGATATTGATTGACTTTATTTGGAGTGAATGCAGAATTGTAATATCCACCATAACCCAAATGGGACCCCGGTTCTGTGCACTCAAGCAAGTATTTTATTGTAGTTAGCGGGAAGGCATGCTGTGATCCGTGGTCCTGGCACATCATATAATCACTCTGTGAAATGCTGATAGCAACACTCGCTGTACTGCAGGTCATAGCAGGAGAAATAACAGGATATTTGCAGGATAAATTGATGTGATTTTGTTTTCACTTGTGGAAATAAGTTATGCCCTATCAAAAATACAAACAGCACATGTGGCTTTCACGTATGATTGGTGAAAAGCTTTGAGGAAACGATCAGCTTACATGACTTAGGCTCTTGCTTGTCCTGTAATTTTCTGTGTGTGTGTGTTTTTTTTTTTCCCCAACTACTGAATCCCTTAAGATGAAAGTGCAAGCAACTTGTTCTTACAAGCCATTTACATTGCCTCATCTGTATTTTTTTTAAATTTCACGATCAGTTTGCCTAGGCTACGATAGAACTGTAGTTACAGTCAAATAGAATGCTTCTAAAAACACTACTTGGATAATAATTGCATTGAACAGACTATGACAGTTTTTAGTTACCATGATAATTACTGCAACTTTAATGCCTGTGGGATTTTGACATGATGCTCTTCAATTTTATGCTGCATAGAAGAAAGAGTTACATGACAGCATGCTCTACAGTTTCTGGAATCTTGTCTTTGTTTAATTAAACGTCTAATATCTTTTCTTTAGTCCTAATGATAAAGTGTAGGTTTTTGTGGTTATTACTTCAATTAAACTTCAATTAAAGCATTAAATCTGTTTGCTCTCAAGAAATAAAACTGTTGAGGGGAGTTTTTTTTAATTATACCACACTTATCCTTTGATATAGGTTCTCTGACATGTTATGGCACTTTATTTGACATGCTTCATGCCTTCATGAGGTGGTGTTTAGGTTTAGATACTGAAGCGAACTATCCTATAAAATCCTGTGTTGTAAATATAAACCTTTATAAACCTCTCGGGAAAGCTCTTCTGAACTGAGAATTAAAACATTCCATGATTCAAACCTATAAAATGAAAAGTAGCCCCCTACTCTGGTATTAATTTGCAATGCAAAATCCTAAATCTAACCTGACGTTGACTTGACTCTCTTTGAAACTCATATTCATCATAGCAAATATTTTTTGGCTTTTTTATGCTGCTTTTATTACCAAAACAAACAAAAAAAAAGCCCCCAAAGGGAAACAAACTACTCTGCTGGTAATACACTGTATTAAATTCAATGCTTGTGGAAAGATTATATGAAATTCTTTAAATCAGCATCTATTTTAATTTCACTGTGCTTTTTAAAATTTGTTTTCTTTTGTTTGTCTCCCCCATTCTTAAAGAACCGCCGTATTTTACTGCTGAGCCCGAGCGTCGGATTTTGGCCGAAGCGGAGAAGGACGTGGACATCGTGTGCCAAGCGATGGGTGAGTGTGCGCAGGTACTCGAGCTTGTGCGAGCGGGGCTGTATGGTCCATTCTGAAGAAAGCATCTCATCAGCTCCTAATGTTTTGAAGCCTGTAGGTAATTACCAGCTATCACTGGCCTTGTGATCATAAGGTAGAAATTCCTTCTGCCAGAGGTATGTCCTCTGCCTTTGGGAAGCAGACAGGGCTTTTACCTTACTTTAGATTTGATGTGTGCAACGCAGGCATGTTCATGGTTGCCTGGTGGGCAGGACATCTCCTGCATCCTGCATCCTCTCCTGCTCAGAGCTCCTCTCTGAGCTCAACTGCATAGCTCCTGTTGCTTGACAAGAATTAGTGTTTGCAGGCAGTAAATGAGCTGAGGCAAAAATAAGGTTTTGGAACCCATCATTTGCAATACAGTCAATAATTCAGTAATCTTCCTAGTTTCTAAAAATTATGGAGTTTTTGCATTGAGTAGAATGTCAGCAGCAGTAATATTTAAGTGTAGTTAGAGTGTCGCCAAAGGACAGTTTCAGGCCTTTTTTTAATTGGTGGGTGTTTTAATAATATAAATGCCTTCAAATGTTTGTAGTTCCACCTAAAATAAAATGCTTTTTAAGTTTTAGTTCTACAGAGATAGAAGAACATCCTATTTTAGCACTCTAAAAATAGAAGGCATCATAATCTTGTGATTAAAGCAGGTAAATAAAAGTTAACAAAGGTTCATATTAAGTTTGACTCAGTGGAGTTTTGTGTCACTTTAGCAAGCTTAGTGCATTGTTTTTACTGATGCTCAGATTAACAGGCAGTTCTTCAGATCAGAGCCAATTTAAATATTCTTTATTGCACGATTTTATTATTTCCATTACGATTTAAGCATGTTCTGTGCTTTCCATTTAGGAAAGGGTCAACACTGATTTTCTAGAGGGAGGATTTACACATCCGTTAATGCAGTGAGCAAGCATGCGTATAAGGGTGCTCTTGTTGATTTGGGGTTTCCAAAGCCTTAGAGGTGTCTTACCAAAGACTCCTACAGGAACTAATCCATCCAGTTATGAGACACCTGGTCTCATCGTGAGCTAATGGCTTTTTAAAGAGAGCCAATACCCAGATCTTAAAGTGGGGACCTGCTCTTGATGGAGCTCCTCAGGGACTGGAACCTGTGCTGTGCACCATACGCATAAATGCCTGGGAAAAGAAGGTGGACATTAAGATGATAAGATTTGCTGATTATATAGAAAATATTCAAAGCAATCAAAAATTAAAATTGACTGCAGAAGAGTCACAGGAGGTTCTAGTGATTCAAAGTGAGTGGGCAATAAACTTGCACATGAAATTAGTGGCGGGGATGAAATTAGCTATTACTATTCAGAAAAGGTATGTCTTCTGGAAACATCCTCTCAGTGCCAACCAGCAGTTCAAAATGTTAAGTACAGGGAAGAACAGAATAGGAAAAGATCAGCAAATGTCACTGCAACACGGTGTGAAGCTACAGCACACCCTCGTCTCAAGACTTTGCACGGTTCTCATTGCTCCTTTGGAGAAAGGGGTATAGAAAAAACAGAAACAGTGCAGAAAAGTAGGAATGAGGTAACTGGGGGTCTGGCATGACTTCTGGATAATGCGACTTCAAATAGATTGGAAGTTCTCATGCAAGAGATCAATGAAGATGGTTACTGTATGAAAAAGTGATTAGGAAAATGTAATTCTCTCGTATTTACTACAAGAGTTGAAGAGGCACCCGCTTATTTTCTCAGGTAGAAGATGTACCAAATCAGAAGACAGTTTTGCAAAGAATATATAAGCTGCGGAGTTTGTTTGTACAGACAATAGTTAAGATAAGAAATACAAATAGTTTAGAAAAACAAAATTACATGTGTTTGTGGAAGAAAAACCTAGTAAGGACTATTAAACACAGTTGTGTGTGTGCTGCCTGTGGCTTGGGAGGTAGCTCAAGCACAGATTACTGGAGCTGAAAAGATGGAAATAGCATTCTGCCCTTGTTTTGTTCTTGCATTTGGTGACTGAGCATCCAAGAGGAGCCAATTTCAAAGGAACGATGTATGACTGGATAGACGTTTATTTTGGCCATGTACTGCTGTCTTTATGTTTCAGCATGTGTCGTGTTGAACATGCTGGCATTTTTCTATTGGAGAAGTTTTGTCAAGTAGCAGAGTTAAACCTCTGGATCATTAGGGAAATTGAATTAAAAAAGCTTTCTCAGTTGTAATTCAAAAATGTTCCAGCTGTAAGCAAGGTGTGATCAGTCTCTCGCCTCTCTTACTATCACTCTGCATAAAGTGTCTGCTCTCTCAAATATTTTTCATTTGTTACCAAAAAAAAAAAAAAATCCTTGAGAGATCAGGGAGATAAGAGGGTGATTTCTAATTCCTGATTCTATTCTGACTCGTCCTTTGAGCAGTTTAGCTCCCAAGGGGCTTAGTAGCACACTAATAGGCATTCTCAGTAGATGAGGTTTTATTTTGAGGTATGGGAACTCTTATTAGAGCCAAATAACTTGTTTCTGCTCAACTCCTTCAGTGCACCTCTGATCTGTTGTTGACTGTGGTATGGCAGCATGGAAACTTGGCTGCACATGGGTTATGTTGCAGGCTATCTATGTCCCAGGCTTATAAGGGGCAGGTACTAGCTCTATACATTACCTAAATATAGGGCCTTTTTAATCCATTATTATACAAATCTGCACTCAAAAAAGAATAAGTGAAGGCTCCTAATTCCAAGCTAGGAGCTGGAATAATAGCACTAGGGGAAGGCAAAGCTGCCCTGCAACTTCACAGCAAATAGCAAAGCAGATTGCATTTCCCCCAGTCTCACAGAGCTCCGTGCACAAAGTCCATTTGCTCAGGCTTTGTGCACTTTGCGTGTGTGAGACACAGATTAATTTCACAGTCTAAGCAGAGATTAACTGTAAATAAAATTGCAGCTTGCACAGACTAGCTTTTTACTTCCCTGTAATGGTGTTTCAGTGTATCAGACTGCACTGTAGCCATGCTCTGCTGTATATCTTTCAGCAGTTGCTGATGCTGCCTGCGTTTTCAATGGGTTTCCTTTAAATGCTTTTTCTTGTTTGCTTATAGAAAGTTTAGGGCTGCAGGCAGTGGTGGTGGTGTCTGGGGAGCACAGTTAATTGGACTTTAGTTCTACCTGTTTAGACAAGTACAAGGAAGGATGCTTTGGGGACTCCCCAGTAGCCCACTGGGAGCTAGCGAAGACTATAAAAAAACAACAAAAATGACACTGTGAATATTTAGAGTCTTTTATCCAGGTTCTTAAATAAGTTAAAATTGGCAAAGAATCAAGCATCTGTTTCACAGATGGGGAAACTGAGCCTCAGACTGCATAAATTATTTGCCCAAGGTTACAGGGAAAGTGGTAGAGCCAGAAGCGAAGTCTTGCTTTCCTGGCTTCCAGTCTCCTCTGCAGCACTAGACTAATTTGTCAGCCTCTCTTTGAAAAATGAATAGCATTGTATACATGCTGAGAACTAAGCTGATTTTATTTATTATTGCTAGCCTTTTAGGCCACTCTGCAATCCCTCAAACGATAAGGTAGGAGCAAACACTGCTTGGAAAGATGCAGTCCAGCAGGTCTTTAAAGTCTTTTCATTTTTCCGCCAGAAGGGTTTGGAGAGAAGGAGAAGGAAAATTCCTAGGGGAGAGAGGGAGTAAGAGAGGAGTAGAAGAGAAGAATCTAGATTTAACTATTTTTATAGCTGAAGTGGTAGCAAAATGAAAACAGAAAATTTGTACAACTTTGAAGACAAATCTCTCTGGGAAGATCACTAAAGCCCAAATGAGTGCTACTGACAGGCTCCAGAATGCTTAGATAAGATCCTGTTATTCAGACTCATAACGCTGAGTAGAGGAAGATATCTGTAACCAAAAAGCCGAGAAAAATAGAGATGGTAATATTCAGTTTGTCAGCGGCGTTGGCGATAGCAAGGCGCATCTCACAGTGATTATAGGATTAGGGGGTTTGCTAATACTGTTAGCAGAATGGGATTTTTGGAATGACACCAATGTTAAAGGTTTGAAGTATTGAACCTGGGATTTCATTATTTCCAAGGTGCCCATCAAAGCCTAATGTGTGGGAAAATGGAGTTGCTATTATTTAAACTTGAAATCATTTCCAGGCTCCTGTGCATCGAGAGAACTATTCCATTTTGCATCATCTGTTTCTTCATTACTCAATGATAATTTGTATTTGCCCGGGAGGATTTTCAAGAGATGAATAACACTCTCACCGAGAACTGTGAACATTGAAATCTACTCTAATTCTGTATATGGGCTGTTGTATAAAATTTAAATTACGTGCAATGCAAGCTACTGCACCACGTCTGTTCTGTCAGACAACGCACTTTACATAGTGCGTTTCTTCCTGAGATGATTACCTCCTAGATGAGGAGTACATTTTATTTTATCAACAGAACAAAAGCATCAGAGGTGATTGTAGTAAATGATACGTGTTTATAAAAATAACAGCAAGAGTTGAATGTTGTTTTTGAGAAATTCTTCATATTGTTTGTACACTCTTTCTAGGAGCTAATACAGCTTTTTTCTGTGTAGAGAGAACAAGTAAATTGGAAGGAGATAGGAGTTGGACGTGTAATGTAGTAGTATTTAATTTGGGGACCTTTAAAATAATAATGACGATCATATGGCATTCTGTAATGCTTTCCCTCTGAGGACCTGAAGGCATTACGGGCAGTAGAGCAAAGCTCATTCCCTGCCCGTGATCAGTTCATCACTTGTGTCCTGTTCTCAATGCTGCAGGGGTAGAGCGCTCCTCCCTAGCTGGGCAAAGCTTTGCTCGCTGGTAAATTAAACTCCACAGTTTCAAATGATACAAGGACTTGTTCTTCTCACTTCATTACAAAGGAATGTGAAGCAAAAGGGTTTAGAATGATATAAGATATATGTTAAATATCTACTGATTATGCAAATACCGTGTTTTGGTCAGCTTGATACCCTTCTGATCCTGTGGTCATCCTATCACGCAGTGAAGTATCTGCTTCTGCGCAGAGCTCCCAGCGTTTCAGCAGGGAGAGGTTGGGATTTCCAGGCTGTAAAGACAAAATTGTGTCTGAAACAGAATGAGAGAGGAACATCTGTGTGTGACTCTTCTACAGCTCTAATAACTCCCCAAGAAATGGGAATCCTACACTAATTGTAAATACTAAATGTAGAGCCACTTTATCCTAGCTAACTGGGATGTGATTGCAGCAGAACTGAAATAACTGTCAGTATTTGTACAATGAGTGCGTGAAGGAAAACAGGAATAAATGTAACAATAAGTTGTGTTCAGAATAGGTATAATCATTTTGTTTCTGTTAATGTCTGCATTTTTCAAAAACAAAATAGGCTTGAGAATGAATAGAAATAATAATTTAAAACTATCTCATCGTTTGCAACATGCTGCTTGCACATCAGTTAAAATTAAACCACCACATTAGGGCTCAAATATGATTGTATGACCACCACCACTTTTTGTTTTTTATTTTTTATGTGTAACTTACCCCTTTCTTTTTATATCTTGGGTATCATAGCAGAGAAGAATCTTATTTGGGATGGAATAGTCTTACAGACTTGCAGTATTACCACATTGCTGCTGCTTAAGTAACATGATTCTGGCTTTCAATATGAAATTGCTCTAAATCTTATTTTGTGGTAGCATGAAATATGATTGGGTGAACAAAGTAATTTGATAACATGTTTTCTCAACATTTCCCCTTTCACTGCTGGTTTTATTCCCACATGTTCTCCAGTATATTATTGCCATTGATAATGTAAGTAGCAGCCTCCATTTATCAAAAGCAGCTTGTAGAACTATAAGTAATGGATGTAGAAGGATGGGGCACCAGTGATATGACCATAATAGTGCTACGTATTTCAACACCACAAAATGCATAGTACGAAGACTAACAATGAATTTTTTTCTGCTATATAGGTGTCCCTGTTCCCACCCTGGTCTGGTATAAGGACTCCGTTCCACTTGGCAAGCTGCAAAACCCTCGCTACAAAGTACTGCTGAGCGGCGGCCTGCGGATCCACGGGCTGCAGCCTGAGGACTCGGGGATTTACCAGTGTTTTGCGAGTAATAAAGCTGGGGAGATGCAGGCATACACCTACCTGGATGTAACTAGTGAGTAAGGAGCTACAACAGGGAGTCATGAGTTGCAGTGTCACTTCTGCTTGTTATATAAAATGACAGGGACCCAAATCATTTAGATTTCTGCACTGCTGTATGCTTATATCATTCAATTCACATTCACTGAACCTTGATTTTCATAAAGTGTAGGTGTTCTAGCTGTCACCTACTCAAAAATTCCCTGTGTGGCCTGAACACAGTGTACTGAAGCCTATAGAAAATATTTCTGTGGTATTAGTGCCACATGTGGGATGAGCTCTCCTAATTCATTCTATTAAAGGAGAAATATAGTTAATTGTAAAATAATTTTCTCCACTCTTTATACTTGAATAGTTTAGTTCCACTCTGATGTAATTATCCTCTGAATGTGTGTTACTGCTTCATGATTGTGCATTGTGCCATTTTGTCTCTATTTTGTCAACATTTTGTAAGGGAAACAAAATTCAAGATAACTTCTTTTTTTTTTTTTAACCAATAACTCTGATGAAATACTTTGGCTAATAAAGTACGCTCTTCAGTATGGAAGAATCCAAATGCTAATATAATGTTTTAAAAACAATTATAAACAGGTATATCTGGAACACTTTAACTCCTCGAGAGCATAGATGATGTTGGCCATGATGTTTCATCTTGAGCAAGCTAATATTTAACCCAAGGGCAATTTGAAAATATTGACCACAATACCTATTGACCTTAGGAAACACAACAGTCCCAGTTCAATATATATGTAGGAAACTTCAGCAAAAAATGTAATAAAATGCAACTGGGGGAAAATAAGAGAGAATGAAACTTGGAAAATGTCTTGGATGAGAATCAGAATCTGAATTTTTTTGGCTGACATTTAAGTTTGAAAGTTAATGCCTTTCTCAAGTTGCTTTTCATCTTAAAGAACTCAGGGTTATGAAGATGAAAGAAAATAGTTTTGTTTATCTGGATTCCTCAACTTTCCCCCAAACGCTCATTTTGCACTTTATCCTTCTTTATCTGTGAGCCACTCATTTTTACATGTGCAAGCACTGATAGATTTTTATTTTCCATATAGGTAATAAACGGAGTTAGGTAATTCCTAGGAGATGAATAATGAAAGGTTACAGTGACTGCTGAAAGGTTTTCATATGTTATTGCCATGTCCTTCTCCAGGATCAACTCTATAAAAGTAGATGTGAAATAGTCCTTGATAATACCTAAGAGATGTTTCTGCTAACAGATCCATTGACTTTTTGAAATTTTTGATTCTAGACATTAAACCAGCATTTATTCGGCCTCCAGTGGATACTACTGTTACTGAGGGCATGACTGCAGTGCTAACCTGTGAAGTTTCAGGGGCTCCAAAACCTGCTATCTCATGGAAGAAAGGTAACCAGCTTCATGCCGGTGTGGAGAAACTGTGATCTGTGTTTTCTGGCCCACTCCTACTCTGGAAAATCTGTAGATCTATTTAACACGTATTTCTTGACTTCTTTGGTTCCCTGAACAGAGGGATTGTTTTGTTGTTTGCAACCGTGCGAACTATCCGAGTAGTCTGGCTGCTTTGTAATAGCATCTTGAAAGAACTAGAATTGCAGTGTTTCATCGTCTCAGTCTAAGTGGCTACAGTTGTTCTGCTTTTTTCCTTTCAGGGAATCAGATCTTAGCCAGTGGTTCAGTACAGATCCCTCGCTTCATTCTTCTGGAATCTGGAGGGCTCCAGATAACACCCGTTTTCCTTCAGGACGCCGGCAATTACACCTGCTATGCAGTGAACTCCAAAGGAGCTCTGAATGCCTTTGTGATGCTGACCGTGTGGAGTAAGAATAATGCTTTGCTTAATAATCAAGTATTAATCATTTTTTTGGTGTATGCTCAGGAAATTTTCATAAGTAATTATGCTTTTCTAGTTAATAGAGATACTGGTGTAATTTAATAAGAATAACGTATCTATTTTAGGAAATCTGTCAGAATTGGTTTTAGCTTGTAATGTTACACATTTAGACTTTTTTTGTTTGTTTTGTTTTGTGAAAGGAACTGTATTTAAATAAATCAGGGCATCCAATCACAATTACAATTTCACTCAGCTTTTACCTGGGTGAGACTTCAGTGGCCCGCAGGGATGCGCTGAACATCGGCACTATCGCAGGATCGGCTGTTTGCAGCCACTCCAGGAGTCTGCAGGCAGCCTGGAGCTGCCCATGCTGTTGCTAAAGCTGTGGTCCTACCTACTGCAAATACAATTTCCCTCAAACCTCTGAGTTTTCTTGTGGCCCTGGACATCGTTGGAAGCCACAAGAAAGTACAGCAGACTTCAGCCACTCTCTCATGCTGCAGATTGCCAGGGCACAGGGCAGCCCATGAAATGATTTTGCTCTTCACCGTTTGCCCTTCATCTCTACTTGTTTTTTCCCTGCCAGTGTAGAGAGTCTGATCTATTCGTTTCACTCATGTTACTCCTAAGTGACACTGCCATATGGGAGAGGTAAAATACAAGGTCTGTATGACTAATCCAAAGCCAAAGTGTTAAAGTGTAACAGCTTTTTGCTACTAACAGTAGGAAATAACAGTCCTTGAACTGAGACTGAAAATAATTAAAAATAATGGAGACAATAACATTAATAAATATGAAAGTGTAGAGGTCCTCTCTCTTATTCTCTGCTTGGCATACGGCCCTGAGACTGATATGATCCTGGTTTATGCTGCATTTTTGACATTTATTTATCCCAAAATACTCCAAGTTACGTCAGCAATGTTTTGCCTTTTGAACTTCAGAATACCTGAAAACAATATTGGTAGTAAAAGTGATAAACATGTGTCATATGGCCATTATATTTATGTCATACTGAGAAAACAAAGATGCTGTGTGTATCAGGATGTTGCAAACTGTCCACTATCCAGATGTGCAAAGGGATTCACATTATTAATTCTCAAAGGAAGAGTGGTAATGTCTTTTAAGATAGCTCCTCTTCATTGTATGGCCTGAAGGGCTGTCAGGAAGGGAATGTAACCTAATAATCCTTGTTTAGCACCATTATGAAGCGAGAAGGCGCACACAAGTACATCTGGAATAATGCTAAAAATTAAGCACTGTTAGATGCAGCCTTTGTATGCCTTTGAGTTCTTTGATTTCTTCTTGTGTGTGTATGAGATATCTCCGTAGCTCCTGGTTATCTCAGTAGGGATTTGGGACTGATTAACATTAGCCACCTATCTTCTGTGCTTGTCCTAGTTGTCTAGCTGCTTCAACTGATGCTATCTGCTGCCACTCCAGAGTGCTGAGCATAATAGAGATCTTTCACTCTGGATCTGGTTGCTGTAGTTACAGGCAATTATTGTGTTCTGGGTCTCCAGGAGGTGCTTGAATAAAGATGTTTTGCAACATTCGAGTAAACAGCATGTCTTTCCTATATGGAAAATTCATGCTCCCAGCAACTCCTCCTCCTTTGTCCTCTTTCATAGCTGTGACGAGATTCTAGGGTGCCATTTAGCTTTTTCTTTCTTCTGAGCATTTTCGGGAATATTCTTCGCTTGCCCAGGTTTTGTTTGTTTGTTTTTGTTTCCTCGACTCAAAACAGTATGACTCCTTTCCTGGCTAAATGTATGTTTTTGTGCGTTTGCCTGCCATTATAAACATACACACAGCTTTATGGCTTCGAGGAGTTGCCAGAGGCCCTTAGTGCAGCAAAAACACCCGCTCTCCTCGTGTCCACGCTGCTGCCAGCCTGGGCCCGGGACCCCACTGTCCTGTCCACGTCGTGTGTCTTCCCAGCACGATGCTGTGCGAGGCAGGGGGACTTTTGCAATGCAAAGGCCTTGAGAGAGGTGACCTGCTTGCTTTGAATGGCAAACACTGGGTCGCCTGCTCGTGCAGGGAGTAGCCGAGCCAAAACGCTGCCATTTCACCTGAATGCAGCGCGTGTGCCTTTCAGATCGGACTGTCATCGTTCACCCTCCCGAGGACAGCACGGTGATCAAAGGAACCACCGCCGCGCTGCGCTGCGAGGCGACTCACGATCCTAGAATTTCAATCAGGTTGGTGGTGTCACTTCTTGTTTGGGTGGTTTATCTGAGCTTAATTTCATAAGCTCTGTGAATAGCATTAGGCTGAAAAGTTTCAGGACCCCAGGTTTTTAACACCAGACCCCTGATACTTGCATTATAAGGTTGTACACTGTGTCATTAATCACATAAATCCCATCTTCCATTTCAGCCTTATGTATTATTTACAATGAGCTATGTTCCACTTCATGACTTCAATACAGCCTTCCATGATTTTACTGTCAAGGTTAATACACTATCAATAAAACCAACTTGTCAGAAGCTGATACTTAATGAGAGTAAAAGCCAAAGAGAAAGAATAGGCTTTCAGAAGTGTTTACATTGGGGGGCATGAAAATGATGTAAGAAGTGCCCCTGCTCTTGGAAACAGCTCAATAACTAGGGGCTATGTTCTTCTCCAACAGTGTAAAGGCAAGTAGAATTTGAAATATTAACATTTGCACTAGAGCGTTTAGGGGAAGCTCACCGTTTAAAAATAAATTTAACATGAAAATTTATGTAGTCTGAAAGCAACACAAATGAAAAGATAGAGGGAACAGCTTGGGAGGTGCTAGAATGGTGAACTGCAGAAAGAGCTTTAAAAAAAAGAGAAATACAGTGTAAAAATACTATGAAAAATACTTAATTTAGGGACCATGGAATGAATACGTCTGTGATGTGTGGTTATGAATAGCAGATTTTAGCAGATGAGCTCTAGTAAACCTTGCCACAGCAGTTTAAGGTGTTACTGATTGTGGCAATCTCAGGGTATTACAGCTTCAGCTGACGGGGGCCAACGCCTCAGCAGTTAACTTCACAGCCTGATGATTCAGTTTAAACTGCTGATGAAGGCAAACTTACAAACTCGGTCATTTAGGTAGAACTCTCTTTCTTCCATGTAAAATCCATAATATTGTTTATGAACTATAGTGTATCCTGTATGTAATTACATTTCTCTTTCTTATCACTGATATAAATCCAGGTGTTGGTTAAAGGTACTGTTCTTGAAAGTAACTCTAGGGGCCTGTTATTTTTAATGTATAATTTCAGAAGCTAATATCTTATTGTGCAGAGTCAAATAAATGTATTTTGAAGTTACAGTTAGTATTTACTAACAGAAACATTGTGATACTCAGGTACGTTTGGAAGAAAGACAGTGCTGTAATAAATCCATCCAGCAGTTCCAGGATTACAGTAGAGAAAGGTGGAACCCTCCTCATCAGCCAGACGTGGTCAGGGGACATCGGGGACTACACTTGCGAGGTCATCTCTTTTGGAGGAAATGACTCCAGGATGGCTCGGCTAGAAGTGATGTGAGTATTGCTGTGTAAAGATGAGCTATGTTTTCTTAGACGATGTTGAACATTTTCTTAGCTGATTCTAGGAGATTTAGGGACGGTGGATGTTTGTGTTTACAGAGCAAACAGACTTTGTTTTTATTGCTAATGAAATTGCCTTGAAATATCCTGGTTTCTGCATGCTGCCGTGCTCCTTTTATTTCCAAGTAACTGAAGCCAGCTATGCCAGTGCAGTCTGAACATCTTTATGGATAGGCATCTGTGCGTGTCCGGCCGGTTGGATGACTGAGCTCAGGGGAGAGTGGCTCATGAATCTTAGTTACCTGAAGGTCAGTAACAAGCTGAGTGTGCAGGGGACTGTGCTGGAACCTGTCCTTTTTCGCCTCTTTTTCAGTGGTCTGGATGAGCTGTCATCAAGTTTGCAGGTGGTACTAAAAGGAGAAACAGTTGATACATAAAGGGCCGGAGCTCCATTTAGAGGCATCTAGACAAGCTGGAGATGGGGGTCAACAGGAATCTTACGAAATTCAACAAAGACAAATGCAAGGTCCCATGTGGAGTTAACTGACCTTTTTCAATGATATAACCTGAGGGCTGACTGCCTGGAAAGCAGCTCTGATAGAGCTAGCAGTTGTGGTAGGCAACAAGCTGAATGCGAAGCCCTAACCTTGAAGAAGGCTAACAGCATCCCAGGCCGTTAACAAGAGAAGGAGATTGAGAGACATAAGTCCTCAATACTCATTAGTGTGCTCCTAAAATAGTGGATCCAGTTTTGGATCCCAAATGCAAAAAAGATGATGAGAAACTGCAGCTAGTAGTGGAGAGCCACCAGGACGAGTAATGGACTATTGTGCTTACCCTGTGAGAAAGGGCTGATGGAAGTGGGCTTATTCATTCTGCAGAAATTAAAACAGGAGAGGTTCAGGCTGGATGTAAGAGAACTCTTTTTTAATCCCTAGGACACACAAGTGTTGGAACAGGTCATCCACAGAGGTTGGAGACTTCCGGATCATGCCATGATGCCGTGTCATTGAATGTCCACATAAAGCCCAAGTGCTGGGCTTCAATACCAAGATCACAGGAAAATATTTTCCTCCTTTTAGTATTGCTTTTTCTCTCTGTTGAGTGCATAGCAAAATAGCTGGTCTCTGGGCAGGCATTGCTTATTCTTGCATTTCCTTTATACGAGTTTTTCCAAGGAGAAAAAAAAATCTGTGTCTGCCTGCCTTTATTCTTAAGGATCTTAAAAAAAAATCTAAGTGCATTGCACTTGTGGAAAAGGATTATAAAAATGGCATTGTACAGTTCCGTGTTTTCTATTTCTGCCACTCCACTGGAGTGAAATACACTAACAGTTTGTTTTTTATCACTAAAAGCAACAGCTATGGTTTTGTTGCATGTATGGAGTAGATCAAATGAATGAGGAAGTAATATTTTATGTAGTCTGCTTTTCTTTTTTTGAGCAGTGCCGCATGCTTTAATTTAACTAAAATTGCATGTATTTCTGCTGGTCATGCCTGATCTCTCTGAGAAGATGGCAACTGTTGCTGGCAGTATAATGAGTTCACCTCAGAGGTTTGCTATGCAGAGCACTGTTTGATACAGCATTATTCTGACAGTGCCAAGGCTACATCAGATGCCCGTTTGGAGAGAACGGTCATACATTCTCTCTCTAATTAAGCACTCCCCAGCTTTCCTCCCGGAGTGCATTTTACAGCTGGTTTGAATCCAAGAGCAGAAGATAATTCAGAATATATTGTTTCTGAGTGGAGGGCAGAAAATTATGGAATAAAAACTGCAAAGAATATTATAAGCTGGGCTTTGAAATAAAGCTTCAAAAATGTGCTAAGTGCTTTTGCAATCTGACAATTCCTTAATCCAAAACAGCAAAAGGTGCCCTATGCAACCCAGAATAGCACAACAGGTTTATTTACTTGCAGGTCCCTGTTGTTCAGAGAAGAATAATTTTATAGTCCGTACTAGTTAACTGGGAGAGGTGCATTTTTTTTTAATGTTCCTGAGCCTGCCTTTCCATACATCCCAATTTGCTGCAGTTCTGGCTGGCTTTTAATGCCCGTGCTCTGTCACTGGCTCTTAATCCTGTATCTCTGCTCCTTCTGATGTTCTGTGCCTGATGGCCTATAACCTTTTTTTTCCCCAGAGGAATTAAAGAAACTCTTTCAGAGGACTTCTCTAGCTGTTCGAGTCACTCAATCATACCCTGAATTGTGACATTTCAAAGCAGTGCAGGTACTGAACAAGCACCAAAGCGTTGCCTCCCCTTGCAGCTTCCATCATTATCATTTGGCTCAGCAGCACCACATCGCTGAGAAATACAGAGATACATGATACAACAGGAGAAGGGAAATAAAGGAGAAAATACATGGTAACAAAATGTTTGAAGTAAAGCTTAAATTAAATTCTAGCTGGTATATGAATGACAGGTCTATAATCTTCCCTGTTCTCCCAGGTAATTCTCTTGTGCAGAACATTAACAAACAGGGCATGTACATGCCTGTCTATGAGCACTTACACTTCAGTGCCTTGAGTAGCACTAATGTCAGAGTAATGTTCAAAGGAGGCCTCTCAGCCAATTACAGACTCGAGCAATTCACCAACAGATAATATTGCAGCCTCCCTAGCTTCATCTGACAACTCTAATTGTCTTACCACCTCTTTTTCCCCCAGGAACCAGCACATCCCTTCTCTATCTCCGAGCATGTAAAGAGAGATTTCCAAAGCAGTGTTACTTATTTCCATCGAAAGACATTCAATTCCAACCCATTGACCTTCAGTCTGACCTTCAGTTATTTGGTCTCTGAGTGATTTGCTTCTACAATCTGTGAAAAGAGGGAAACAAAACTTTTTCTTCCTTTGTCTCCCCTGCTTAGAAGTCAGACTTGTGCAGAAGACACTGGTTGTTGCTAGAGGGAAATGCAGCGCTAGCAGAATGGAGCTCTCGTGTGGCACACCTAGCTGGTGCATACAGTGTGGCTCCTCTTCCCTGGCATGCTGGTGAAAGAAGCAAAATGTATGAAAATGAAAGCCAGAAAACTAATGAAGAACTTGCTAAAGTGCAGCCAAAGGCTGCCTTTCTCATCAATCTGCACTGATGGTACTTGGACACAGAAACTAATTGCTAGTCAAGATACTCTATTCATTCATTCGTCTTCCCTCTAAATATGTTTATTCTTCATATACATGACTTCATTTGATTTGCAGGAGGTAAAACATTTGCTAGTGATGTTTCTCTCCTGCAAGAAATAGATTTAAATGTGGTACTTATTTGTGTGTGTAGCAGAGGTTCTCAGTTGCAAACATAGAAACATTTACAGGTCTTTTGGTGGTGAACTTGTGCTTCCCTTGCATCTTTCCAAGTCATGAGATTAGACTATGAAAATAATTGCATGTAATGAAACATCCCAGCTTCATTTAGTTTACTTTTATTGTCCTGTAAATGCTATAAGAAGATGAAGTACACACAGGAAAAGAAATGCTTGTTCCTAAAGCTCAATAAGCTCTGAGTTACCACAGTGTATCACTCTCCTGACAGGAAAGTCTGCTGATTCCAACTCAAAATATCCTGAGGGTTCTCAGTATATATAAAATATGCAGAATTATGACTATCTGTGCCGGCTGCTCAGTATCTGCCTGTGTGCAGTCCATACTAAGGAATCTCTTTGTTGTTTTGGTGTGGCTGCATGGTAATGTATGGTAATGCTGCATGGCTGGGAAATCAAAGTCCTCCTCAAGCCTCGGCAACGTCTCAACATAGGGTAGAAACTTTTAGACTCTTTCTCTATACAAAAATACCGATAGGGCAATATAATACACAAATGGACAAATTATTCCTGGCAGCAAGTTCAATTGCTTTCAGTTCTCTTTCACCAGAGAGAAAACTGCTTTTGTTTGGCCTCCTCTTCAATAGCAGGTGAGGTGAGCTGACCACTTAGAGAAACCCGGCAGCTTGTCGAGAGCCTCTGGCGCTGCCCCCGTCAGTGGCCTGAGAGCAGTTTTCTTTGAGGTATCTTACCAGAGAGAAAACTGCTCTTGTTTGGCCTCCTCTTTAGTGGCAGGTGAGGTGAGCTGACCGCTTAGAGATACCCGGCAGCTTGGCGAGAGCCTCCGGCGCTGCCCCCATCCGTCGCTTGGGCAGAAACCCCTGAGAGCAGTTTTCTTTGAGGTATCTGCAATTGCTCCTGCTTCCTGATTTCTTCCCAGTTTGCATCATAACCAAACAGCTTGATTACTAAAAGTAAAATCAATAAGAGCAATGCAGATGAACAAATGGAAATGACACCTCGTTATGAACTTACATTGATATGGATCCCTTCTGCCTCTGTACTGATATTCCATCTCTTTGCTCTTTTGTGGGGAGCCAGAAAAGGAAGACTTGTAAGTATGTTATTCCTTCCTCACTTCAAAGAAAGGTTGTAGTTATTTTTCCAAGCTCTTTATTGGGAACTAAAACATAAGGTTCCCTGCCTCGTATAAATGCCCTCGATCTTCCAGAAGGAATCAACCAGACAGATAAACAGTTGTGTCTGCCTGTCTTCAAATGTATCTCAAAAGTACCCTTTTAGCAAAGGTAAAGCATAACATTCAAAAGTCTTTCTCTGTAGATCTGAGCTTGTGTTGAGTGCCAAAATGAAATGGGAAATAAATCTGTGTGCTCTGGTATTTGGCACATGCTTAATTTCTAAGTTCTACCTAGTTATAGGCCTGCAAGAGACAAAAAGGCTCCCTGTTACCGTATGCACTGTAAGAATTGTTCCATTGCTAAAAACATTACTGAGGTTTCCTTCACAAGTCAAAGCGGAAAGTCTTGAGCAAAAGATGACCTGATTCTTAACTTAAAACATTATAAGCTCTTAAGACCAAAGTCATCAGGACTGAGTGATTTGTTAGGCTTCTTGCTCCAACTTCTTAGCAAGTTATCAGGTCCAGCAGAAGAGCCACTTGCACTTGAGAGAATGCTGTGGGTACCACTGTATTTAGGGCCTGACTTAGGAAATCATTTTTGAGATAGGAGCAGAGCTTTTTATAACCTGACAGGAAGACATGTTTAATCTCCCTTGCCTTTTTAGTAATCCCCTCTTCAGTCACAGTCTCTCTAATTACCTGCTGTTGGACCATTTTTTCTCAGAAACCATGTCTGGTTTATTTCCCTTAGCAAATAGTCTGCTTTTAGCTGATTTTATAAAACAGTGTATGTGTTTGCAGAGTAAATCTTTCAGGTACCCTCTGGCAGTGACAAAATGACTCAAAACATTAGAGTTTCTCTTCTGAACGTGCATCATCTGTAACTGGCTAATGTTTCTCTCCTGGATTGTCACAGTGGATTCATGTTCTTTCCTTGCAAATCCTCTATTTTAATTGCTTTGTCAAAGTCTTCTCTGGTCACCTTGGTAGCTGTATCATTAACCCTGGATTCATCAATTACAGATTTAAAAGTGTCCATATACTATTTTTTTCCTATCATACAAGGGAAGTTATGAAAAACTTGACTCCCCATAACTCTCTAGCATGAAAGTAGTGATGCCTAAGAGATCCTGTATTCAGAAAGGTTAATACTTTTCCTGTTTGGGACTTCGGCGAATACCAAAAGAAATGAGAATGCCAGGATTGAACATTAAGGGTGGTTATGTGCCATGGGTGTTGCTTTCCCGAGCCGCCTTCGCCTCTGTGCTGTAGCAGCAGTTGAGCAGCACTAGTGTGAGATTCTTCTCAGCCTGAGGAAGGATTTGATTTACCGTTCCATGCGATGACTTCTTGGACGTTAGCAGCAAGAAAAAGTAATTCTCCTGAAGACAAAAGCAGCAGTGACCTCTTTTGGGAACCCGAATATTCATGGTGGTGATATGGGTCTCATTTATCATCACTTCTTTGCAGTACGTGCTAGCAAACGAGGAGACAAAGAGTAAGCACTTATGAAAGTAAGAGTTACTATTTATTAATCTCTGCTTTTGTTTACTACAAGGAAAGCAGTACACTTCTGTTCTGAAATTTCTTTGTACTTTTAAATATTCATTTCCAACCAGGTGTGTTTCTTAGGCACTTGTTATTTCTGCCTTGAGGGATTTAAATCTGTAAGCACCATCTGTTGCTGTTTGGGCTGGATACATATGGGTAGAGAATATGATATTTGGGGAGATAGGTGTGCTGGGGGCTGCTGCAGCATGGCAGCGCTCCGAAGGGCCTGTCTCCTTCCTGCCGCTGCCTTGTTACCATTTGGTGCAAATCTAACAAAATAGTCAACTCAAAGCAGATCCTAAGCAAAAAGCACGTTTGTAACTCAGTGTATATTTAAAAGGGATAAGGAAGAAATTGTCTGCTGTTCTCCAAAAAATCCTTCAGTTTTAGTAGCCTGAGAAAAAGAGAACAAACTGCAGATAGTTTTAGTCCCGTATCTTCTGTCCTCAAATGAGTGGCTAATTCAGCCCTTCTCAGTCTATGAGGAAACAAAATATACGCCCTGAAATTACCCTGCATGAATTCCAGTTTGCAGAAGATGTGACCTGGAGACGTTTGCCCTGAGCTCCCCGGCAGCCGTCCCTTGTACGCAGCTCCGAGGCCGCCACGGATGCAGCCCCTCTCCGGATGGTGCCCCTAGGGTTTAGTGAGGAATGACGACGCCAGGTCACAACGCAGATATGCCTTTTCACCCAGCCAGCTCAGGGTGTTGTCATAAATTGTGGCAAAGGTGTAATATTTATTATGATTTAATGGTTCATTCAAAATTAAGGAAGGCGCTTTCGCAGTCTCTTGGTAAATGGCCATATTATAAACCCCAAGTCCTTACTTTTCCAGGGACAGGCCTCCTCTTCCATTTTGTCTTGTAATCCAGCCCTCTCTAAACCTGTTTCCAGGTCCCTCTCTCCACTAAACTTAATCCCGCACACGGTAGCTAAAGCCCCTGGAGAGCTTGTGAAAGCAGTAATTTGCAGTGGTACAGAAGCAGGTTTTTGTAAAAATAAATAATTCAATTTATTTGTCCAAAATTTTGCAGTGCTCTGCTCTAAATCTGCCTCCTTTGGGCTCTGCATATACTCTACATGCCCTGTGTTCCCTCTAGCCCCAAAGTGACCGTGTCTTAGCATCGGAACTGTGGTGTGTGGTATCTGCAGGCATCTGCACATGAGCATTTGTCAGCCTAAACTCCGTATAATCAATGGAGAGAGCAAGGCATCCTTAGAGAGTGACTTAATGAAGTTAATATCCGAATCACGCCCGGAGGTGTCCTTCCATGTTTACTGCAGAAGGCGCCCGCGGTGGCTGTGCTTCTGATTTGCTTAGGCATTTAAAGTCAAATGAGATCAGAAGAGACTTTGAACTGAGCTTTAGCCTTAGGAAGCCTTAACCCTTCTAGTCTAGGTAGAGGTGGGCAAGTGATAGCCCTGCAGTTACCTTTTCTCATTATCTATGTCTTTCCCTTGCTATTTCGGTTGGACTCTTCTAGCAACCTCCTTTGAACAGACCTATGCAGGAAGTGACGCTTACAAAGATGCGAACAAGAACATTCACAGTTTTAATTGGAAAAATAATAAAACTATTGTTTTGTGTATGTTCCTCTATCTTCCAGGAGAAATCTGAATCCAGAACATACTGTTCTGACCTAAAGCCAGGATCTGTGTTTAATCTTGTGAGCGGCCTTGAGGAATTGTGGTTTTTTTAGTAACTAGGCGTTCAGGAGCATCACAGCGAGTAATTAGTACATTTTTAAATGAAGGATGGCAAGTACCCCTGTGGCTCTGTGCTCTGACCAGGGTAGGTGAGCAGTGGTGTGTGTTGAGGCAGCATCACCACCGAGCTTTACTGAGGGACACCAGGAGATCCAATGGGAGAAAAGTGGCCATCCTTGCTTTTCCTTCTTTGTCAGAGATCCTTGTCCTCCTTGACAACAAAGTAGAAACCGGCTTAAAATATAATGACTAAAGGGCTCTCATAACGTAATACTGATCAGCGTTAAAGGACTGTAGTAAATGTAATGCTCTCATAACTTAATACTGATCAGCGTTAAAGGACTGTAGCAGAATTTAGTTTCCTTACTGCACCATGCAGCCTCTATGATCTCAGGCAGTGGGTCCAAATGAATACATTTACTTTGATAAACTCCGCCTTTTAATTGAGCTGCTGTTTTATTTTTATTTTTAATGTTTCATTTAATATTTCCATGGGGTTTCTGCAGGCATTTTCGCTACATTTTCTGGTTGGGTGCTTCCAGAAAAGAATCCCTATTATATGAAGGAAGGGTTCTACCCATGACAACATAAGCCTGCATCCACAAGTAAATCAAGCTGTTTTGTAGCCTAAGAATACATATGGCAAATTTGATTAGTAACTCTATAGGACTCGTGTCAATGTCTTTCCTGATTATGAAAAAATCTGTATTAAATCATACATCTCGTATGTTTTACTGTTTATATGTACTACTGCTGTTCCATTGCTAGGATGTCATTCAAAGACAGAGAAAAAAAAAATAAGAAAAACATATTGACCAACTTATCTCAATTAAAAAATAATAGCAAAATTGGCTTCTTCCTCATTTAGCAACTGTTCCATTAGCTGTTCTAAGCGTTAGCATTGGGACTTTTAGCATAATTTTTTTTTCAAACAGGAGAAAATTGTGAATAATTCAGAGATATCTTTCGTTTATTTAATTGTACTATAGCTACTGGTGGTTTTGTATCTATCATCATGCAAGGCTGATGCCATGTGTACATCTAGCTGCCTGTAAGGTTGTAACTGAGCGAAAAGTAGATTGATTTTCGGTGCTGTTTTTCCCTCCCTTTCTCTTTTTCTCTATAGTGAACTGCCTCATTCCCCTCAGAACCTTCTGGCCACTCTGAACTCCTCGCACAGCCGCAGCGTGGTGCTTTCCTGGGTTCGTCCCTTTGATGGAAACAGCCCCGTTCTCTACTACATGGTAGAGCTATCTGAGAACAGTGAGTAAAGTCCAATATATTTCAACCTTACGTTTTCCTTAGCCTGCTTTTAGATTTAGCTTTACCAGAGCTACCAACAAAATATTCCTCAGAATATTCCTGTTCTTTCCTTTATGAGAGAGAGTGTGCAGGGATGGGAAGTCCTTGCTTTGACATTCAACCATGTGGAAAGAGTTAATTAACAGAAGAAAGCCTGAGATGGTGACTTTGTTAGTGAGAAAAGCCTTGTTCCTTCCCCAGCTTTACCAGCCTGACTTCAAGGGCTCCAGTTCATCTCTCTGTGCTTCTAAATATCATCTGCAATGTAGCAGAAGCTGTATGCTATGTCTTCCTGTTGTGTTTTCCTCTGGGTTCATGGATATCCTAACACAGTTAGAACTTCAGTTTCAGTTGAAGACTATATAATAATATGCATGGTAATGCGAGGAGCTGATGATGTCTCTGAGGAAAAAACCTCTGATTTGTTATCCGATAACAGCTCTAGTAGCAGGACCTATTGCCATGCCTGTATGTGGATTCATATATTCTCTTTGCTTTCCCTCTGCTGTTATTTTACACCTTTCTTTTAAGTAGGTGGTTGAGGATATATAACTGTGAGATACAGAAGGACCTGGTCATTTTAAATTGCCACTTCTCACAGTTTCCTCTTCAATAGGTCTGTTCATTTATAGCTCTCTGTTTGCAAGGTTATTCAGGGACGCCGCTAATGCCTCTTTAGGAATTGAGTGAAAGATGAGGTTATATGGAAATCAGTCACCTTGGCAATACTTTCTAATCTCTGTCACCCTAAGAGCTAGAAATCCAAGCTGAACAATTGATTTTAGATGGAAAAATTAAGAGCATCACTTCTTCTGACATGTGGAAATTAGCCACTGCATAACTAAATGTGAAACAGTGCTGATTTCTGATTATCTAGAGAATAGCGTGTGTGTTGCGACATGGAGAGCTTGAGTTCAAAGCACACACAAGCCTTTTGCTTTGCTGGCTGGGGGGCATAACTTTTCCTATATAAAGGTCCTAGAGCTGGGTTCTTGGCAGCTGTTGAGCCAACTGCAGTTTTCTCATCCTAGCAGAGCTCTGCAGTCCTGCACGGGGCTGCTGTCCTTAAAACAGCTCTCTAGAGCAAAGAGTCCTGGTATTTCTGCAGCAGAGTAGCTTTGAAAAATCTGCTATTCTGTGCCACACTGGATCCACTTGCCTGCAGCCACTCTCTCCTTTTTCCTCACCACCTCCTCTGTGGTCTCTCCCTGCTGCTTCCCTTCCTATTGACCCCGGTTCAGTAACTGCCTTTCTGCTTTGCTTTTGCTTCCTCTTCTGTCACCCAAGATTGTTACCTTTGTGCTTCTGTTTTTCCCAGTAGCTTAGTTGAAGACAAGTTAATAAAGTCCCAGTCTGGGAACATGATGCAAACAGCAGTATTTATATAGAGATAGTGCTGCTGCAATATATGCCCTTGGATCCGGCACTGTGCTGCATTAATTGGGAAGTGTCTCTAGGAAAGGAGATGGCTCGTTCAGGGCCAGGTGAAGTTTGAAAAGTCTTTTAAGTGTCTTTGAAGTAAGGACGCTTTGCGCTTGGTTCTAGTATGGGAATGAGGTAAAAGTGCCATCAGTTTGAAAATGCTCTAATTCATTTGCTGAAATTTGTAGAAGGTTTTGCAAAATTCAACAATACTTCTGCAGAAATTATGCAGAGTCCCTCAGAACTCTGCAGGATCCTGTGAACTCTCATTCGCTCTGTGATAGATCCAATAATTTTGGCTGATGGCATTGCAATCTACCACTGAGAGAGTCTCATTATCACAAATCATAGGTATATGTACTTCAGCAAGCTTGTAGCTGCAAAAATCAAAAACAAACTAGACTTACTGTGAACTGAGCATCTTAACTCTCTGCAGTATTCTAGAGCTTGCTGTCCTTGGAGTTTTCATCTTTATTTTACTCACTTTGCTTTTATATTTTCTCTCTAAATGGTCACTCACAGAAGTAACACAGGGAGGAATCTGAACCCTTGACTACTCCACGTGTTACTGTTCTCTCGTATTTCATGTGCTATTGCTCAGCTTTACACTTGTCGGCAGAACAGTAGAACAATGTCAAGAGTGACTTTGGTTTCCACAGATGACTTCAATGTCTGGAGAGTGTCACTGTCTCATTTGTTTTTATTTGCTTGCAGGGTATTGTTTTGAGAGCTATTTTGAGCTCAGCAGTGTGAGTTCCTCCTACTCCTATGGCAAACAGCATCCTTCCTTCCCCCCGTACCACCCACTCTGTGATCTGCCATGATCTTATTATGGTGGTGTAGTTTTGTCTGATGCGACTGTGCAGAATCTCTTTTGGTTTTGCACAGAAAAATTTCATTCAGGTTTTCTGTCAGTCCTGCTTTTGCTGCAGAGGATTCTGCACATGCTGCCTATAAGCTCATTTCCTCGTGTTTGTAGCTCTTTTGCTGTTGGCAGCAGTACAATATGCTTAATGTCTAATCCGAGCTTGCTCTCCTGTATGCATAAAGGTTAGAGACAGGCATCAGAATTGCAGATTATTTTTCAGTTAGCAAGGCTGCACAAAAAAACTTGTTTCTGTGGAGTTTTAATAGGGGAGCTTTGTTTTGCAGTTACAGGTGACAAAATGTAGCATAGTTTTATTCAGGTTTTCTGGTTGCTTTGCTTTGAATAATTTTCTAATAACTTTAGCCTCCATTTCACATTTTGAAGCAGGTACTATAAATGAACACATAATAACAGTATCTGTTACACAGAACTAACAGAAGAGGGTTCAAAATAATGAGTGAAATTTTCAAGGGACTAATTACTAGCTGCATTAGAGAGAGGTGTGTCACTCCACCTGGCATGGATTAAAACTCCTTTTCATTAATATCAATCCAGTAAAAAGATGTAAAAACCTCATATTAATTAGTGAAAAATACTGTGGCAGATCGCACACATAAATTGCTGGAAATATAAATGACTCTAGTCACCAAGTCTTCTAATCTTTAAAATGAGTACATTTGGCACAATGGAATAATTCTCAAATCATAAATATTCACAATAGACCGTGTCTGCGGGTGATTTGGGACATATGGCCTCACACATTTGGGGGCAAGTTTATAATCTAATTTGAAAAACAGAGTTCCAGGGAAACACAGTCATTAAGTATTCCTACTGTCACAGAGACAGGAAGGCAAACCTTCTTATGGAATAGGGTTTTCAAGCAAATAATAGCTTACATTAGCATCATTTGCACTAACATAATTTTTGGATGTTTCACAACCTGTTTAACCACAATTACAGCGCACCTAGGAATGCTGGAGAAGCATCTTTGTGGAGTTAGGAGGAGATATGTTTATTTTATTCCTAGGAGATTTAAAATTCTGGGATTAATCAAATGTTATTATGATTAGTCTTTTATGTGAACAAGTGAATTAATATTTAAAGAGGTACTTTCTGTTGGGGATAGTTAAGATAAAAGCCCATTTTTGTTTTATTGTATTCTTGGGTATCTACTTTGTGATGTTATGATAGAACTCAGGTTCATCACGTTATTGCCCTTGAGGAGGTAATTAAAGCTCCTGTGAAAAGTGCCTGTACATGTTTAACTCATCAATTGTCTTCCTGAATTTGGCAGGATTATTCAAGTGATCAAAATCGAACACATTAGTCTTCGAAAAAAATATTAATGGAAAAACCATGCTATTTGTTACTACTGTGACTCAGGTCTATTTATGGCAGTGCTAAAAGATACTTTTTGTCATGCCAGTGATAGACATTGTTGAAGTCTCACCAGAGGAAAGATGAGCCAATTTGTTTTTATCTGAATTTTTTGCAGTATCATATTGTCAAGAACATCTGAGAGATTAATTCAGCAAACTCAGAAGTATGGCAAATGCCAATAGCACTGTCTGTACAAAAACCCTTGGAGGGGGAAAGAGCTGGAAACGTATTCCATTAGCTGCAAAAATCATGTTTCTCCTGTAGATCTCATCCGTAATATCAAATCGGAATTGGTTCTTGAGGAGCCTGCAATTAATACCCAAATTTCAGGATATATAGGGAAGCGTAGAAAAAAAAAGTCCCTTAGTGAGTAACTTGTGATATCAAGGTTATCACAAGTACATCTAAAAATTCTTCATAGACCAGAAATAATTTCTAACCCCCTCAAAATCAAATGGTAAACTAGCCTGTGCTTTCAAACAAATTAACTTGGAGGGGCAATCAGGATTAATGCCACATACCCAATGTCCTTAAGACAGACCACTAAACATGAAAGTTGTTCAGAAAGTGGCAATTACAGAGGAAGAACAAGTAAGGAGCAAGCACAGTATGTTTTGGGACAGCTTAAGTTAAATGAAGGATTAGCACAGTCTGTTCAATATAACAGAGGTTTATTTATTAGTTTGACCTGGCAGTTTTTTTTGTCACCGTGGAACTTGTCCGGGCTTCCTGGGGCAGGAGAGTGGCAGTAATCCCTGCAGGAGAAGGGAGGGAGCGTTGAAGATTTTGTGGAATGTTTCCAATGTCAGAATTGCTTTTCTACAGGGTGAAACGAGCTTCTGCACAATTCTGGCGTTTGTTATGTATTTTAGATGGAAGAACAGGCTTTCAAAATGTTTAGTTTATTGATTGTCAGAAGAAACTTGACATTTACATTTTAAAGATACTCTGCAAATTCATCGTATCCACTGCTCCATGAGCAAGCAAATCCTTCCCAAATACTTTCCTTTAGAAATCAGAGTGCCCAGGAGATGAATAGGGTTCGTTTATATTAGTTTTCAGTTTAATCTCTCGTCCTGCCAGATCTTTTATCTTCCACTAGGAGAGGGAAAAGAATAAAGTATTCTACAGATGCAGCATATAAACAGAGGAAAGCCCCAAGGTACTGGAGAGATTAATAGGCCCTGTTGTTAAATCAAACCACTCACTACATTGAGCTGCTGGGGTTAAGCACACGCGGGTGATGTTTACACTGGCCATAAACAAATGAGACCAATTTGCCCTAGGGATTGGACCCCAACCTCATCGGTGGGGCTGAGGAGGGTGGTTCTTCTCTGCTTTCCCATCAGGAATCTGCTTTAGGCAACTTAGTAAGTTAGCTATGACTTAGTTTCCACTTCCCATGGTTTGTTTTAATGCACTCTGCGTGCACCAAGGCGAGCGGATGCTTGGAAAATCTCAAGAGGAGCTTAATAAACTTTCTAAGGAACCAGGCTGCAAAAACCTACCAGCCAGGGCTTTCCGAGCTAGTGCAGGTGCCTGCTAGAAGAAGCTCCAAAGTCGGTTAAGATAAATTGCCATCACAATCCTGCAGCTGAAGTGACTGTTGGTAAATCATCAACAACTGGTGCTGATGGAGCTTGACTGCTGTGCAAATGTCCCTCTCCAGCACTCCTGTTTTGCTGTGTCAGTTTTCCTGTTAAAAAGAGACTTTGTTCTCAGAAAGCTATTACTGGAATAAATATATTTTTGAATAATTAAAAGACGCCGCATTTATAGCCCAACTGGCATGACGCCCCAGAGGACTTAGACTTGCTAAGGATTCTGCCAGAAAAACACTAAATTAGTGGTTTATATCTTGGTGTGAAGTTTAGCAGCCTTCCACATTTGGGACATCTCATCTTCATTTTCAGGCAGACGTCTAGGTGACCTGCCAAGAACTGCAGTGCTCTTCTGATGAGCCACATGCACAGATACGTTGCCAAAATCGACAGCTAGCTCCTCGGTAATTTCCAGAAGTGTTTATAATTTTGAGCAAGGAGCAAGAAAACAGCTGGTATTATTTAAAAACTGAACAAATCTTTAAATTGGCTGACTCCATGGCTGCACCATTGCAACACAGACCACATATCACCTCTCTTGGACTATTTCAGCCATGATTTTGGGGAGAATAGATGACACCATGCCAGGAAGAGAAGAAGTCAGGATATTTAATTTTCAACATATTTCATTTCCGACCTCTTTGAAAACTTGAAATTGTAATTTGGGCAGCAAAGGAGCTTGGCAACTGAAGTATGTGAACTGACAGCACGGGTTTGATAGTACCAGGAAATCTTCCTAAAATGAGGAGCCTGAATGCCGTATCCTATCTCTAGAAAAAATGCAGACGCAGAATCCGCAGCAGAAACTTTCTCAAGTCTTACAGCAAAGAGCTGATTTAGCAGAGAGAGTCACGCTTCTACACCTGCTTGCAAGCTGGGTACGAAGATATTCCAGAGCGGCTGTGAATTTCATTAGAGCCCTTCCAGCAGAGCCACTCATGGGTGTGGTGGTGTAATGGACTGCCAAACAGATGGGTTGTGAAATACACAGCCCATCTGTCTTTATCATGCTTGCTTCCTCTTTTATTAAAATGTTAATGAATATAGTTTTTATTTATTATGCCATGACATGTGCAGCATCACTTTCCAGGAGACAAATGTGCAATCTGCATAACTGTGTGGGTTGACGGGGAGGTTTCTTTTATTGAGAAGAAACTTCTTCCTGAAGTTCCTCCAAGGAAAACGAGCACAGATCACTCTCTGCATTCGGAGGCTGTTTGTCACCTCTGCGAGGCTTCTCACTAACACCTCAATCTGTTTCACACCTGATTTATTCCAACAGATTCTCCCTGGAAGGTTCATCTCTCCAATCTTGACCCAAAGATGACCAGTGTCACTGTGAGTGGACTAACTCCAGCCCGAACCTACCAGTTTAGGGTGTGTGCTGTGAACCAGGTGGGAAAGGGCCAGTACAGCTCTGAGACCAGCAGGTACAGTAAAAGAAAAGTGGAATAATCTAGGGCTACTGTGACAGATTTCTTTTTTTTTTTTTCTTTTGAATAAATACAATAAAGTTATCTTTTACACAATAATTGGGTAATGGAGCAGTTAGCTGTTTCTCAGGCCTCTGGAGATTGCTGTGGAACAGTCAGTAATTGGTATAAATAGCAATTAAGAGATGCAGGATATCAGCATACACTGGGAGAGAAATGCCCTCATATTTCCGGAATATCAGCTGAACAGCATCTTGAAAGATAAGTGCATGTGCAACCTAAATAGTTTTTCCTATTGTATTAAGCCCCAGCAGTTAGCTCTGGAAGAAGCACAGCATTCACCCAATCATTACAATGTCACTTCTGGAATTCACCCAGATGTGACATAGAAGGATGGCTTCATCAAATTTAGTTTCAAATGCATCCCATTTCTTCTCTGAACCAAAGCTTGCTGTGAGCTTGAATTGCAGAACAGCTGAACTCTAAATGGCTTTTTCAAAATGTAGGAGTTTGATATGAAAAATATTGAAAGAAACAATTTGGAAAGAGTCACAGATACTGGACCTGAGCTCTAACTCATTCAGGCTTGTAATCTTTTTAAAGAGTTGCAGCAGCCTGGCCGATTCGGGGAGAACAAGGTTACTTCAGCTGTCTGTCTTGTTGCTTGCTTAACTGATTTCCTATTATGTTGATTTGTTGTAACTATTTCATGCATGTCTTTGGCAGTTTGATCAGCATTATAGTTCTTTCTAGTCATCGGGCTTTGATAAACGGAAGTGGTTCGCATGTAGTGGAAGAAAAGAAATGTTATCTATCATTTTGTTTCAGCACCCATCTCCATCACACTGTTCTGTTTTCAGGTTGATGCTACCTGAGGAGCCCCCAAGCGCCCCACCTAAAAACATAGTGGCCAGTGGCCGCACTAATCAGTCCATCATGGTCCAGTGGCAGCCTCCTCCGGAAAGCGAACATAACGGAGTGCTGCACGGATACATCCTGAGGTGAGTTACCCGGTTCCTAGCAGAGCAAATATGGAGCTAGATCCATGCGGGCATGAGGGAATTAATTCCTAAAGTCATGTGGCTCAAGCAGGCGTTAAAGTCTATTCCCAATTTGTATCTAAGATATTAATTATTACTTATAAATGTCATGGCTGCCCTGGTGTATTATGGATGAGGTAAGGTCTGTTTAAATGGCTACAAAAATCCGGTTATCTAAATCCTGGTCTGTGCAAACTGAAGAGCCCTGAAGCTGGGGGCTCCTCTTTACTCTATTAGCTACTCTGAACAGACTGCCTATGCAGACTAGCTCCCTGCAGAGACTCTCTGTGTCCAGATAACCTCTTCTATTTTCAAAAGGAAGCGAAGCACCATATGCTAAAAGTGTTTACATGGGTTGGTACAGTGCAGCTTATGGATTGCAAATGTGTATTTCCTTATTGCAGTATAAGCTTTCTGCTAGGAAGTTCATCTTACCAAAGTCACCATGAGCAAAGAGACCCTGCATTATCAAAGAACAAGAACAGCATCAGTAAACTTCAGTTTTGTGCCAAGCAACATGGAGAGAGGCAATGAGAGGTCAGGTGCTTCATGGCAGACTTTGGTTTTGAAAATCAGTTAGTTGAGTAAGATTCTTCCAGCCCCAGCTGTCTTAATTAAAGAGAAGTAGAATCAGACAGGTGACTGGGAATCCTTAGTATATCCAGTCTTTCTGCTTTCACAGGATTTATTTTGTTGGAAAAGGTGTTGCCACCCTGAGAGACCTTGCAGAGCACAAGCCTTTTCTAATCTCTTAGGAATCAGTTTTTTACTCCTACCTAATCCAGCTACTGTTTATTTGCTTACTCGCCTTTCCACATATCCTGATGTGCTAGCAGCCAGCTAGGGCATTGCCTTCAGTAAGGGAAACATTATCTAAATGAGACATTTTGAGGGAAACGCCCAAGAATTGCACCACTGTTGACATCTCTCCAAGTGATGGTTATACCCTGTTGTAGTCAGGTCGCTGCCATTTTTAATGTACTGTGCTTCAGACCTACTGAAAGATAACTAAATGCTGTGGTATCAGTGCCAACACCCTGTTCATGCTGTGTTTTCGTTTTGCTGGCATGGATGAAGTTGCTTTTGTGATGTTAGAGTGTTGGTGAGTTCCCAAAATAGTGCTGGAAAGTTCCCTCTCTCTGCAGGCAGAGCTGAAGTCTGTTAATCTGCCTGTCACCTGCACAGAGCCCATTACAGCAGCTTGTGCAAGTGCCTGCAGTTTCAAGAGCTGGACACAGCTTGAGAGCTGTGCCAGTCATCTGTGACAAGTGGGAAAATTCTGCCCGTGGCCAGAATCTTGTCGTGAAATCTGGGTTCCCATTTACATGGGGAATACGTGTTGTTTATACAGTCCTTTGCTTCAAAGCTACTGAACGATAGGATTAATTCCTTAGCTATTCCTAATGGCTCCTAGCCTGTGTGGGCATGAACCCCTCTGAGCAAGCAGTCCCACAGCCTCCTGCTTTTGGCAATCTGTTCTGTTCTCTTTCTCCGTATAACATTTAACATGTTTAACTTCAGCATTTGCTATTAACTGTTAGCATAATTGATCCCTGTCCTCACTATAACATCACTTTCCATTTTAATAGAGAGTGATCATATTCATTATTGGCAATCTGTGAACATTTTTGATGTCTAAATGCTTTGTCTAGCCTACAGTGCAGAGAAAGCATTTATTTGACAGGAATTTAAGTTTGTCATATAAAAGCACAACTGTCCCAGGTAATAAACCAAGCTGTTCTTCCAAGTCAAAATGTGTTGTGTGCACAATATATGCCCAGAAAACAGGTATTACTACAGTGGCTTTGTGTAGAATTAGAGGACAATAAAATCAAGACCACAGTGTATCCCAGAGACCCAATACTGAAGACATGCAGGATACTGAAGTGATAAAAACGTGATCTTTAGAAGTGAAGGTGCACTGCACAAGTCATGTAGAGTGTACATCAAAGTCTACGGTGAAAAAAATCAGGAAGACATGACATTTCTGAACTGGCCTTCTCCCTCTGCCCTTTTTCTCCCTGGCAGTGCTGCATTTAGAGGAGTGCTGTGCTAACAGCATAATAGATTAGATCACAGGAGCTCTCCACACCTTGTCTGCTAGGTGTGAGACAAAACAGGACTGCACAAAGAATTGACTTTGCCAACACTCATACAACCTTGACGAGAGCCAAAACAGAAGAAAAGATATTGCACTAAAGAGCAGCAGAAAAAGACATTCAATAAAGTCAGCTGAAGACTGGTATTTCTTACATGGAATCCCATTAAAGTAGCGTTACAGATGTGAAATGCCACGAATTGTGGTTGGGCAAGCAACTTTCCAGCAGAGGAGAGGTTGCCAGTGATTAAGAACTGATTTCTTTATTAGAAGATTTTACAACAGACTGTGTTTCCTAAGTGCATGCAGAAGTTTTCCAGTGGTAGATATGGCACCAGTTTAACTTAAATGAATTTAAAATCACACCATATCAATGAAACTGTTCTGTGTCAATAAGCTTTTGGTGATTATTGTCAAGCAAATGAATAACACTGCATAAAAGCTGTGTGATGAATAAAATCCAAATGTTCCCATATTTGTCTTTCTGTGAAATAGTAATGTTTCATGCCCTTACTTGGTCTTTGTTTTTCTGATTTGCTGTGGTTTAGCATATTGTAAGCATCCGTTGTACCGTCTCACTGAAGAAAGAAAACCAAACACTATTATTCACATTCCTAGGCTTGCAAGGTTTATTTTTTATAATTTATTTATTCTCCGTAGTTCTTTGGCCTAAAGAGAAACATCAAACAGACTCTGTTTTCTGTACACTGTTTACAAGAAAATATGTATTCAGTTGTTTTCCTTCCTGTCTTGCAGCACAAATTTTCAGTATTTACCACAAATCCATTTTTTGTACAGTCTTATCCCTGGAATTTCCAGTTCTAGCTGTTCCTTCAATCTCAAATGTATTCAGCCCTTATTTTATTCATGCTGCAAAGTGAATCCTGGCGGAAACCAGAGATGGCAACGCCTGAGTCTGGAAGGTCAGCGCCCTCTGAGCTCTTCCTTTTCATATTCCAGATGCAAAGGTAAAAAGCATTTCTCAAACTGATTTACAGCAGCATCCTGATAAAAAAAAAATCACATCTGGGCTGTTTTTTGTACTAAATCACAGCTTTTACTAGACAAGCCACATTTAAAAAGCTGTAATTTTTCTACAACCATAAAACAGGATAAAACACCAGTTTTGTTTAGCCCTGAGCATGTAATCTCAGCGAGATCAGATTATAAATGCTATCGCACGCAAACAAGATACAGCCTTATCAGGAATTAGTGTGTTGTTTGTTGTTATTGTTGTTCTTCGTATAATTCTCCTGTAAAGGTTTGGATATTGCCTCTTCACAAAGGAAGCTCTTTTGCTAGGCAGGACATTTGCTATAATTGATACTACCTAATTAACAGCCAATTTTTCTTCCCATATGGTAGGTATCGCCTGGCAGGGCTCCCTGGGGAATACCAGTATAAGAACATCACCAGTGCCGAAATTAACTACTGCCTAGTGAAAGACCTTATCATTTGGACCCAGTATGAAATCCAGGTGGCATCTTACAACGGAGCTGGGCTGGGAGCGTTCAGCAGACCTGTGACAGAGTACACTTTACAGGGAGGTGAGCAAACCAGAACAACACATCCTATAACATCACCGCTCAGAGCACAGTTTCCGAAGGAGCATTTATTCTTGGTGACCCACAGGATGGCATGTAAGTTCTCTTGCAGGTCAGCATCAAGCAGAGCAAAGTTATGAGGAGAGATGCTGAGGATGTGATGGGCAGAGGCCGAGAATGCTCTGGTCCGAGAGACACAGAACATGGCCAGGGACTGGCTTTGCAGTGGTCAGAGGCCACCTATACAGTGTAGGACACAAATGCCAAGCATACCAGCCATTCCCCAAATAGCGTGTTTTAGAAAGAGGGAACAAATGTGGCCTCTAGAGAAAGAGGATCCTCTAGCATTTCAGGAATGATACAGGCTTTTGCATGAGAAAGATTGAAATGGTCTTTAAATCTCTGATTTTTATGCTGTGGCTCCTCCATACCTTTCTGGTAAGTGCTTTAAGAAGAGTATAAATTACATCAACAAAAGGATATGTAATTACATTTTATAACCAGTGTAAGGCATGTTTACGCCTCTAGATTGGTATAAAAATCCTTGAGATAATTAACTACAAGGCCCTTAGAGCTTTCATATATTCCCATAATTATAGGATTGTGTTGAATTCTGAGTGCTGGACAGCACACGCTCTCCACTTTATTGGTCATAAAACAAACTATTTTAAAAACTTACAGTTTTACAGTACATCAGTTAATTTATAATCAGTGAAGAATATGTAGTTGTTTGTTAATTGTTGCTTGGAGTACATTATAATGTGATTAGATACAGTTTGAATTGTAAGGAGATCTTTAAAATAAGGTCATTCACATGCAGCACTAATTAACCACAGAAATTAAAGAAGGAAGCTGTGCATATCATGTCTTAGAAAAACTAAAGCCTCACAGTTTAGAAAAGGGTAGACACACTCCACCTCTTTCTAGTAGTATTTTTAGCAGACCTTGAAATGTTTTACATATAGTCGCTTCCTTACAACCAGGATTAATGTTTTGTATCCCACAAAAGACCAGATTTCTGCTGAGAACTAGTTTGCACATAGAATTTGAATCTCTTTTGTGCATATTCTTGTAATCCATTACTTTGTTTATCTGCACATTTTAGAGCTGTCCTGGCACCTCAACCTTCCATCTATTAAGACGCAGGTTCTGACTTCACATTCCTGTTCTTTAACTCTGCATTTAACTCTAATTTCCCTTGATATTACGTGCTGTTAAAATCATCCTTTATTGATTGGCTGTCTGTTGTCATTTATAAGGATATAAATCCTCTGCTATAAATTAAGTGGAAGTCAGTCCTGCATTCGTATTAACAAGCAAGAATGTTTTGAATGCAGGACAATCTGTATCAGCCAGTTCATCTTTATACAATCCTTAACTGTTTGATGGTGGTTAGACATAGATGAAAAGCTACATATTTCTTATTTATTTTAAATCAATATTTGATAATAGTAGTGAATAATTACTTAATGGATGCTGCCATCTCCTAATGAAAGCCTTGCTAGAGTTCTGTGCAAATCACCTAAGGCATACAGTCTGTTTTAAAAAGAGTTGAAGCCTTTTTACATTTAGAGTTGAAAAGAAGGGAGGCTGGTTGATGTCAGTCTGATTTGAAACTGAATTAATATCAAGTCACCATATGCAATGCACTGCTGTCCTAAGTTTTGCTCCTTTATATTTCTTACCATTGGGAAATGACTGGAAAACCAGTGGCAGTTTCTTGCTGTGGAATGTCCTTCCTAAGCCCAACCAACAGGAGTAAAAAATAGCCATGTGTAAAGCTGCCTTGTAAATCGTATTCTGATTTTAAAATGAGCTGAGATAAATGTCAAAGACACACGCTCCCATCCATCCCCTTCCCTGACCGCCACTGCCACCACCTCTATTTTGACATGCATTAAATGATTTGAGCTATGCTGGCAAGAGCCTGTCTGTCTGCAGATGAAAAATACCTGAAATACCTCATATTAATCACGTGTGCTCTGCAGTCAAAGCCTAGCAGGGAAAGAACGGTGGGAACAGGTCAACCCATTGGAGGAGCAGATCAACACATTGGCACCCTTGTCATGATGAATATTGACTGGTTCTATAAACTGTGGATTTCTACCAGAATCCACTTCATTAATCCCTTATTAGTCCTTGGTGTTGCTTTAGCTCACCAATAACAAATCAGCCACTCAAACCTCTTTGAAGATCACCAGTGCCCAGCAGGTTGCTAAACCTGCAAGATGCCACAAGAAACCTTGCAGGGAAACTGGCACAAAATGCCAGTTAGATATAATGTCAGGGAGACTTACTGGCAAAGCACTGAACATCCTAGTACTAAGGTCAGACAGTTTGACTGTCGCTGAATCTTGGAAATCTTTTCAGAGTGATGTGCAGCATAATGCTTTGATGCCCTCTATATATAGATCTTCCTTCATCAGAGCTTCTCCAGCTGTTCCTTCCTTTGATGTTCCTTTTGACAGGGGTTTGTGCCAGTCTGCTGCATAGAGAGTTTTTACCTATATGAACAGTGTAGCGCAAGAGGTGCCTCAACATGTAGTTTATTATTGCTTCATTTTCCCTTTTGTGCTGTGCACGAACACCCTGAAAAGTCAGAAAATTTGAGCAAAAGATTTACCAGGCTACGGAGCCTCGATGTTATGGAGAGAAGGACAAAAACTAGATGTGTCTGTCCAGGCAGGTCCAACGGTCTTCAGGCAGTGGGAAGGGAGGCAGGGAGATTCATAAGGTGTGAGAAAGGAGCTCTATAAGAGCTGGAAAAAAATGTTAACTGTCCCTGTTAATTGAAAACTTCCTGCTGTCAGCAGAAAATAATTTTGAAAAAGGAATCTTAGAATAATCCTCTCCAGGCATTCAGCTTTATCTAGGTGAAACACAGGATTTCCCTTAGTTTTTCCTTAGCCTTACTTGCCAAAACTTAAATATGCTCATTCAGTGCCTATGGAGAATTTACCTGCAGCCGTGAAGCATCCACGGCAGCTACTCTTGCTGCTGAAGCAGACTGCAGTTGTAGTGTCTGGATTTTATAGCTCTTAGTTTTATCACTGTTGGGTGTTGTTTCCCACCTACTGCCTTTTTTTTTTTTAATGCTTTCACAAAGGTGGCCTTGGCAGTGGTCTCGCTGAAGCCCCTGGCTGCCCCCAGCTTCTGCTGACATCAAAATTCAGGGAAAGCTGCAAAATCCTGCTTCCTAAAGAGGTAAAATCTTGTCCTTACGAGAGGCCCAAGGGAAAGAAAAGAGGCTTTTGCCAGCTGCAGGTAGCAAGCTCATCGCTTACTGCCAAATGTAACGCGTCTGAATTTCAAATATTGGCATATGCAGAGTTGCAGAGAGCACTTTCCGTGCACCTGCTGCAGCTCAAAGCGCAGCGGAGGGTGTCGGCCAGCTGCGCAGGGGAACGCGCTTCGCCGTGAGTCGCCGGCTTTCGTGGCAGGGCTTTGTGCCCGGCTCCCACGGGGTCCTGCCGCTTATCTCCTCAAGCCAGCGCATTAAAGGAGCAACTGAATCCTCACTTGAAGAAAAACCTGCAGCTCCCTGAGCCTGCTTTATTGAGACGTGGAAGCTGGCATCCCAAAGGTCGGGAGCTGGGGAGGAGGAGGACGCAAGCCTTTGCTGAAGATTTGTATTTAAACCCTCCAGCCTGGTGTCGGAATCTGTGCAGGCTTTACATGCTATTTGCACATAGCTAGAGACAGAATAATTACATGTACATGTGCTTTACCTCGATGCCTTCTCATCTCTCAATTATCTCGTCGACCAAACCCTTTTAATGGCTAATGGAGTGTCTGCTGGGCACTACCTTGCTGGCTGGGCTGCTGAGCCCTGGCAGATCCGAGCTCGGTGAGCGGCACAGGGAGCACCGGCGGAGCGAGCTGGTGGTTTTGCCTGACCAATTTGATCTACAGTTCAGAAACGAGAGGCAGATGTGACACAAACTTTGAAACAAGACTCCAGGGGGAAGTGTTCTAGGAATGCTCACGAGCAAGATGATCAGAGTTAAGAAACGAGCATTTAAATTCTTAGGGATTACATTCAAAACATCAGTTACATCAGTAACTTCTGTATAACTTGACCACAAGGAAGTTATAGAAACTGGGATATAGAAACTACTACTAAATAGTACATCTGATTAGAAAACCCTTTATGTGGCCAGCTGCAGCCTTAGCAAGTTGCTAAACATGATCTTGGGAAGGTGTTTGAGTTTTCAAGTGACCAGAAGGTCAACTCTGTGTATACAGCATTTAGCTTCTCTCAGATTTCATGTTTTTAAATGCAAAACTGTTCAGATACCCAAGGAAGTCATTAATATCAGAACATAGAATGGAGAACTTTGTACTGGCACTTGGAAGTAAATTTGAGGTTATAATGCCAATATTTTACTGATAAAAATGTAAAACTGTGTTATATTATGTCTGCTGCAGTATAATTAAGCTTATGCTTTTTAGACAGACCGTGTTCTTTCCAGCTTTTAAATGCCTTCATTGAGATGCAGATGTTGATTTTTCAGTAAAGTTGTCCAAAGATGAATTGTAATATAAATCACAATTTCCAGCATTCTGAAGCATTTATGTTTTCTGGTCATGGTTTTTATCATTTGTCTTCCTATAGCAGGTACTCCTTGTGCTATGATGATTTATTCTTGTTTCAGGGAATTACATACTAATGAAAGAAAAATATTTCACATTTTTAAAGAAATAAGTAATGTGTTTGGTTATCTACATTTCTGAAACTTTGGTATGCCTATCCTAAAATGCCCGCCTGGGCTTTTTTGAGGTGTGATGCAGGAACGATTATAAATGCAGACTTAGGGCTTTTTGACCCAGGCTTTTTTTTCCTCTGTTAAAAAATTTGCAGTATTTTCAATTGGACACTGTTCACATAGCTAAAAGGCTTATCGAACTCATAGGATAAAATCCTTGCGTTATGAAGAGCCTGGAAATTTGCTATTGATTTTAAAGCATCCATGGATCTTTCACGAATGCCCTGAAAAATGAAAGCAGCAGCGTGGATGTTCCCACGTGTTTTAGGGCCCTGAGGAAGGCAGTAGGAATGTCCTGCTGGGAGTCATGGTTCTGATAACTCTCAGGTAATGGGTCACCTTGGCCCAGCAGCATCTGTGATATGTATAGATTTTCCATGGAAGTATTATATGTTAGAAAATCAACACAGCACCTATAGATACGGTTGTAACATAGCAGGAGAGCGGGAGGAAGAGGAATGGGTGGAGAAGGGGATGCAAAGCTGATTTACCCTCCACGACAGAAGGAGATTAATCTACCAATCATATCCAGATGACTTTCTGATAAAAGAACTAACTCAAAGCCTTCTAATACAATTTTCTCCTTCTATAGCAAATCTCTGGCAAATACAATATGAGAATATGTAAATGTGCAGGGAAGTATGAATTTTAATTTCACAAAAATCTTCTCTTGTCAACCATAAATTGTACAAAGTATTGCACACCAAAGCAACTTTAAGTACATCTTGTGGCTCTCATGATGAACAGATTTCATCAAAGAACACGAAGAAGAAAAAAAATTAGTAGGGGAATGTAGCCAAAGCAGCTCATTATGACTATATAATGACATTAATATATATGACTGCGTATCAGGATGATTCGGTGAATCTCTTAACCACAAAAACTTTATGATGTCTGCAGGTCATTAAGATAATATTTTAACTTTCCAAAAGCATACAGGGAATTATACAGCAGGAAACAGGGGCCAGATTCTAATGAGAATTTAGAGTAGTATTAGATAAATTCTGTTTTTAGAACTCAATAATTATGTATAGTTCATAAATTGTGACATCGGGTCTTAGATTAGGGCAAAAGAATTCTGAATAACATGCAGTTTTGGTGGTACAAAAAAAATGTGCAGAACTAAATTTTCAAGTTATGTAGTCGTTGAGGAGTTTTAGTGACACAGGGCATAAGAGTGGGAAGCTCTGCTCATTTCCAACCTGGTCTCTTTGCGGATTACTCCACTTATGTGTGTGTGACCGTATTAAATTTATTTTTAGGAATCAAATGATATTAGGCCTTTATGCTTAAATTTTTATGATTAAGCATACTATAAGCTATATATTGACTATTGGTATTCCTTCCTCTGCAAACTACAAAAATGACATCCTAAAGCAATTGCTGGAAATTGCCTGGAAACTGTTTAAGAGACATTATGTTAACTCATGAAATACTTTGGTGTTATTTCTTTGTTGGAAGCCAGTATACTTCTATGTTCCATGTTTTCTTTTGCATTGAAAAAAACATCTGTTTACTTAAATACTTGTCATAAAGTGTTTTTACAACCTCTAGTGGGTTTGAGGATATGTTACTTTAGAATGTGTGTATTGAACCAATCTACAGGAATGAGTATTGTATCAGATAAAATGAGAATGTCATCAGTTTCCAAAAACACTCTTTATTGGGTATGACTGATCATAATTTTTTTAAGCAGCAGTAAATAATAAACAGATGCTGTTGTCAGATTATAATTCACAATTAGATTCTAATCGTGCAACCTTCATATTTGCTTGTCTGTTCAAGGAAATTAAAGGACTTGAATTTGGTGGTGAGTCCATTCATTCCCTGTGCAGCCATGGATCAAGATGTGTCCACCTGTCTGACCTTGCTTCTGTCTCAGGTCTAGATGGGAAACTCATTTGTGGCATAATAAGCTGCAGAAATCGTTTCAGCCCCTCTCCTGAAACAAATCTCCCAAACAAAATGGAAAACAACCCAATTCCCTCTCTTTGCAAATAATTGCTGGCTGCCATATCGCCAGAAGTGCATCCATTTCTCACAGCTGGCATTTCCTTGTGACTCATGAGTATCAGGGAGTAGGTTCTGTGTTCCTTTTTCTCTTCTTCCCCCTAATCCCTCTTTCTCTCTGCTTTATTTTGGTTGCTGTGTGGGAGCAGTGCCGACAGCTCCGCCGCAAAACGTGCACGTGGAAGCCGTGAACTCCACCACCATCCAGTTCCTCTGGAATCCGCCACCCCAGCAGTTCATCAATGGCATCAACCAAGGATACAAGGTAAATAGAAACAAGAGTTCTCTAAGTTTGTGTTGTACAGTCTTGATATAAGAATTAATTTAAATCTCACAAGCTATGCATCTCCATTGTGGCCACTCATTATCAGGAATGTTATTAAAAGAGGAAAAAAAGGAAACTGAGCTGCTCTTAACGTGATGTTTGCTGATTAATGTAAGTCCTCAGAGAGGAGAAGGAAATATGTCATGGGCTAGAAGTCCTAATCTCTTTGTCATTTACCTGGAGAGTTTCCAAAACACAAAAAGCAATTCCATGTCAAACACTTTGGAAAGTCAGCACGTGAGATTTGTTGTACCACTGAAAATCAACCTTGGGAAGTCTATAGACTTTAACACAAAATTCCCATTCATTTCATTAGGAACCAAGATGTCACACTCAATATTTCTCTTAGCTTTCCCGCTGTGATGATTTGAGAGCGAGAAGAATGTAAAATTTATTAGTAGTGCTTGATGACACAGTTAGCATGAACAGTCTCTGCGGATGGTGCAACTGGCAATATTTATTACTGTGTGCAGAGCAGAGGGTGCTCCGCAAGCTCTTGTTGGTGCTTTGACGAGTGGGGTGCACGCTGAGAAGGTAGCTCGAGTGGTTTATTTCCATCTCTCAGGAAGGTTTGCTTAATAGAAATTTCTTCAGTGGTTCATCTGTGCGGACTTGATAAAGGAAAAGCTTAAAAATGTTGATAGAACAAAAGGGAAATCTTGCAGGAATTGCAGAGGAGCAAAGGGGAAGGTTGTAGAGCAGGGAGGAGGGAGCTCGGGTGAGCTGCTGGTGGAGGGAGTCTCAGCTGAGCTTGAAGCAACGTGTGGTTCAAAGGCAAGCTGCCCACTGAGGGGTTTCGGGTGGATTTTAGGCTTTTCAGATGACTTGATCCTTATCTGAGAATGCTTCAAAGCGATGAGGAAACTGAGGGTGAGAAGTGCATGCGTAATTTCATAGTTTTGTCCAGATCTGTGTATTTCTCAGACTAACAGATGTAAAGAACAGTGGTGGTTGCAGAATCTCTCTGCCAAAGCAATATATACATGCAGATGTGTGGCTGTCTGGTTTTCCCAGACACAGACCCAGCAGCTCTCTGGAGGACATGACTGATAAGGAATTTGGGCTTCAAGTGCGCTGCTGAAAACCCCAGTGCAGAGGTAGTAACTGAGCTCTGTTCAGACTCTGGGAATAAAAACATTTTGAGGGCTCTGTGAGCTGAAACTCAGTGTATTACTCTGGTGGGAATCCAAACAGGTTTCAAATTTCAGAGCTCAGAGTTCCAAAAGTGATATTTTATGTTTTTGCTCTTTGTTTTATTCAAACAGAAAGAG